CTTTTGGAACCACTTTCTGACCACAAATGAAAAGGAACAAACAAGCCACAGGGTGAACAGAATCGCACCCTTGAACAGAATACACTTTTCGGGATGGAAAATTCAAAATGGCCACCTTAACATTTACCCAGACTGCCTAAAAACTTATCAGTTCTGAACTTTCCCTAGAAACATCTCTATTTAGGATGAATCCATGAAACCTGTAAACAACCCTCAAGAGACACGTTTTAAGGTATTACTTCACAGTGTATCAGCTTTTTTCTACAATTCAGATTTTCCTGAAAAAAATTGACCGTTTAGTTATTTTTTAAAAAAAATGCTTTAATTTAACATTGCTCTCAATAGGAAATTCTTTTTTATTTTTTAAAACAAGCCTTCACAGACACGATTTTAGGACGAAAAATCCAAAATGGCCACCTTAACATTTACCAAGAATGCCGAAAAACTAATCAGTTCTAAACTTTTATAGGTAGAAACATCCCTGAGAATTTCAATTAAATCCCTCAAACGGTTTGGCTGGAAACCTGTAGACAAGCCTTGACAGACAAGAATTTAGGACGGAAAATCCAAAATGGCCGTCTTAATATTTATCCAGAATGTCAAAAAACTAATCAGTTCTAAACTTTCATAGGTAGAAACATCCCTGAGAATTTCAAATGAATCCCTCAAATGGTTTGGCTAGAAACCTCAGACAAGATTTTAGGACGGAAAATCCAAAATGGCCACCTTAACATTTACCCAGAATGCCGAAAAACTAATCAGTTCTAAACTTTCATAGGTAGAAACATCCCTGAGAATTTCAAATGAATCCCTCAAACGGTTTGGCTGGAAACCTGTAGACAAGATTATTCGGGACGCCCGCCTGATTACTGATTACAATATAGCACCTTTGGGTGTGATAAAAAGGAACGAACCTACTTGATAAGTTGACAGGACAGTGTCTTGGCATAATCATCACTATTTATTATATTTATGCGACTAATACACATGCATATTTGACAAATTTTGAAGGAAACATTATCGGGGAAACACTGAACTAAGCCAATAGTAGGTAAGGTTCCAATGTTTATTCCGAAACCCTTCAAAACATATTATGAAAGTTCCAAATACTGTTATTCAAGCAAAAGTTTGCAGTTGGGACCGATTTCGGTTGAATGTCACGGCCCTAAGAAAAACTGACTTATGCACATTGTAGGCATTTCGCCTTTTTAAATAAATCTCGCACCAAAGAAGAACTTATAAAATACTTAACAGATTTAGTAATACTGTGCACCTATCTATTTAACGATTTATTCGTAAACTTTCTCATGAAAAAATAAATCTTCCAGGTTTCTTGAATTTCCTTGCAGAAATCGGCTACTCCCCCCCCCCTCCATTAATTTTTGAATTTTAACAGGTTTGCAAATGGAATTCCATGTTGTTTTCACAAGGTTTACATGCAGGGGTTTCACTAGAATTTCCCGCAACAGGCTTTTAATGAAAACAACAGGCAAAATTAATGGAAATCATAATTTTACATGGTAAAGTTGAAAAATCCCTAAAAAACAACAGGCAATTTTATGAAAACAACTGTTGTCTGCTGCCATTGCCAATGAAACCCCTGACATGGTTAAGAGTTAAAAAATCAATGACCTTTAAGAGGTCAATGATCTTTCTAAAAGTTCATACATTGCAGAAAATTATTTGCTCTCAATAATCTAGGTACATTATGTTCTCTGTACAAAAACTGAAAGATGGAGACCATAATGTAGAATGAGTTACGTGTCCATGAAAATAACAAGTGACTTTAAAATTAGCCATTAAAATGACAATAACCATCGTCATATATGCCACCCCCCTTATGAATCAAAATAGGTTACAAACTATGGAAAAAAAGGACAACTAACAACTAAGTGACTAATTAATTCATCTGAATAATCCATCATCGTCCGGCTTTTCTGAAAACTGTTTATAAGCAATACAATCCACAACACAAAAATTATAAAAAAAATATTCTCTAAATTCATTAGTTTTTGATTGGAATTTTGAAGTCATTTTGACAATGGCAAGACAGGACTGCTCTGTTCATATCATCAAAAATATTGAGTTTGCATGCCGTATTCAAGTCATATGTAATTTTCAGATTTTTCACACTGTAACACATACAACAGACAAGGCATTTACATGCAAAATGTCACCACCTACCATTTGTTACAGATACCAACTGTCAATCACAACTGCCTAACAAAGTCGCAAGTTGAAGATCATATCAATATGTAAACACTTATGGTGGTGACATAAAAAATGATGACATGTTGAACTGTTGGAATGGGAATAAACATGTAATAAGAGAATAACTTACCCGTCATATTTTATTTGATAAATGAATCCATCAATGGGATTTTTCGTAAGTGTGATATCATTATTCACAATGTCTAAGGAGGTAGATTGCTTGCTGGAGGTAGAGACATCAGACGCACTGTCATCAATCTTATTGTCTTTAACACCATCAACATTCTCATCTGATTTCTCATTTATTTCATTCGATTTCTCATTAATTTCATTGTTTTTCTCAACTTCATCAGTTTCCATTTTATCATCATCTTTGATATTGTCTTTTTCTTGATTTGCATTTTCATCCACCTTTTCAGGTTCAGATTTGTCTTCTTGCTTTGGTTTGTTGTCTTTAACTTTAATTTCAGATTCTTCATACTTGTCCTTTAGCTCATCTGGTTTGCCACGCCAGATCTTAGTGATTTCTGCTTCATACCATGCCCCTTGTTCGCAGTCCATTGCATCAATCACATCACCCAACTGGAAAGTTCACTCAATATTTAAATCTAATATTTGGAGATTCATAAGGCGTGGATTCACATAGTCAATCAGGGTAATATAACCAATCTAGTGAATTTTTAGGATTAAAATTTTGCCGGCGGTCAGAAAATCATGTACAAAAATTCAGCCCAAATATTCACCTAGTAGTTTTTATATACATGAATCAGTTCACTTATTTTTCAAATATTTTTTTTTGTGTGAAATAAATTGTAAGATTAAAAATATTTATTTCTACCTTGTATGTAGCACCTTCAAGGTCATCGCCAAAGCCACTGTCTTGACTGTCAGGTTTTGCACCAGATTTTTCAGGGGTCTTTGGTATTGGGATATTCGGCTGAAAATAAAGTTACACAAACTGTATTCATTTAGAATGCATGAATAATCAACCAAGTTCCCAACCTTGAAATGATACAATATCATGTACAATGTTCTCCTCAGGTATTATTCTCAAGTGATAGTCCGAAATTGTCAAAATAAGTCTATTCCCCATTTTGGAGTAAGGGTAGAGATTTACTCAGCAGAGCTTCTCAAATTATGAGATTTTGAAAATAGGCCTGAATTTATCAAAAACATTATCAATTTAGATTGACCTTGATTCCATACAAGACCAATATTGAATGGCAAATTAACCTGAACCAATTTTTGAAAATTTCCATCAATTTCATTTTTAGAGTCTCTAAAAAAGTGCAGATCAACCCATCAATCGCCAAAAATGACGACAAAATAGCAATTTTCAAGTGCAATAAAACATTACTTAACGTGTTTGAGATTAATCATATGCAATGAAAATCTACATTTTTGCAACTTCAAGAAATATATTACTATAAGTACGCATTTCGATCCTTTTAGTGATCATGATTTAAAAAGGTGAACATTGAGCTAGAGGTCAAACACAAAGACTGCCTTGACTTTCAATTGACACGTGTAACAGTTGTTTACCCAAAATTTAGGCGCTTTTATAGATGCATTCAGGATGTGGCTAAACTGGTTGATAAACCACCTAGTATACAAGTATGGTCTGAACTGAATTTATCTTAATGAAAAATCTAGAACTGAATTCAAATTTACCTACAAACTAGTGAAACAAAGCAAAATAACAATATGACCTCTATAATATATGTTAGTAATGTACTTTGACATAATTCGTTAAGTTATCCAATAAACGTGATGGTTTAACAAGCCCAGGTCATATTGACCTTCACTGCGTATAACAAGTTCTGCAGGGAAATACCTCGCTATTCTCCTTGTTAGAATGACTGCTTTCATCTCCACTGCTGCCTTCAGAATTTTCGTCAGATTTAACAATAGCAACAGCTTTTCTGACCATTATCTGAACGACATCGTTTATCCCCACACCATAATCGAACAAGGAATGTCCATTTTCCAACTAAAAAGTAAGACGCAATAGATTAATTATGCAAATACAGCAGAAGAATGTGTATCATCGCTAGAAAAACATAGAAATGAAATGCAAATTTGCAAACTTTTGTTAATCTGAGCAACATCTTTAAAGGCCCATGCAACATTTGACCCACATTACAGTGGTCAGCATACATCAGGACAGGAGCTGAAGTAAAAGGGGGCGTGGCATATTTGTGGGTAGCCTTTCCATTATTCGATTTTGCAAAATATGTTTAAGTTATCATTAACTTGAGATATCCTACTACATATGTGTGAACATATAAAGTTAACAACAACATAAGCTTACCTGTTTGCCACGGAAGAACAATCGCTGTTGTTCTGGTTGTGCTTCAAATTGATCAACAAGTTGGTCTCTCAAATTCTCGATCTTCGTAAGCTTCGACAGGCCATCCACACGTATCAGCTTCTTGCCATCGAATGATCGAACTTGTATCCACATTTTGACACAATTTGATAGAAATCAAGCCACAAATAACGAAGAAATCCACTGTCAACAAACAGTGTCCCCTTCCATGTGTAGCAATTGGCGGGAAAACAAATTAGCGACCTTTAACCTGAATAACACTTGATCTAAATGGTAGATTTTATCTCGAAACGAATCTAATATAAATGTTATAAATTTAAGCTCAAAAAGCATTTTGATCAATCAATTAATTTTATATTTTACTATCTTTTATATTTACAGTAATATATATTCATAATAAAGAAAACTTTCAAGAAAAATCATAAAAAGGGTGGTGTTTTCGTTTTGTAATAGTTAAGGAGAAAAATGAAAACAGATGTAAGTTTTTCAACTTTTTAATTTTCTCTCTTTATAAGTGTTAAATAGGTCTTTCAGTTGAAAACATGATGTTTTTTTCTGACACATAACATGAAAATACTATGTTCCATTGTCTTAGCTCATTGAAATTACTTGAAAACAAATTATATTTGTCAATTTTTAATTATTTAGAAAATTCCTGGACTGCACTTTGATTTGTCTTGTGATCATTGCATTGCCAGTGTCTACTTTCAGTTTCATTTCTCAAAATATCATCTTATTTCATTTCTCAAATCTAATAATATCGAAAATTTAGTGTCCTTATAGGCTCACAGGAACTTGCAGCACTATGATATGAGATGCTTATATCATATCATATCATATCAATATTTATTTCAAGTCGGATAATTTTTGTACAATAAACATTAGCGCAAGCGCTATTGACCGACATATAGACATAGAAATCTTTAAAATAAAATTTTAAAACATGTAACAGTGTTAACAAGATAAATACTAAATAAATACTAAAAAATCATATGTCATACTAAAATACATTTACATAGTGGCACAGAGAATCTGAAAGGTTTACATTTTACATTTACATATTGCACATTTGCAGTTTTCACCGTTCCATGATTTAATTAGTTTTTTGAACTCTGTAAGAGATACACAACTTCTGAGATCATTGGGTAGATTGTTCCATATAAAGCATGCATCAACTCTAAAAGAGTGTCTGCCATGTGTTACAGTATTGAAAGATGGAACATTTAGAGTATTTTTGTGACGTAAATTGTAACTAGATGTACGCTCCTGAAGCATGTCGTTAAGGTAACTAGGAGACTGATTATTTATGATTTTAAAAGTTTCTATTGCTATCTGCCTTTGTCTACCTAGAGTTAAGGTGGGCAGGCCTGATTTGTCTAAAAGAGTATCATAATCAGACTCATAGTCCTTGTAAACAAAACGGAGACATCTTTCTTGGAGCTTTTCCAGTTTAAGAGCATTTGTCTTGCCGCAGTGGTGCCATACTATCGGGCAATAATTAAAGTGTGACAAGACAAAGGCCTTAAATATTGTCATGCGACTTTTCATGTCTAATAAATTTGAAAGCCGTTTAAGGGCATTGATTTGACGTGCTGCCTTAATGCATAATTCTTTAATGTGATCATTAAAAGTGAACTTGTTGTCAAGGGTTACTCCAAGGACCTTCACAGATTGCTCTGTTTGAATTGAAGAATTGCCAAAAGTTAGAGTATCTGGGAGGAAATTGGAGTTAATCCTTGAACGTTGTAACACCATAGCCTGAAATTTATCAGGGTTTGCCAGCATTTTATTTTGATTAAACCAGTTGATGGCAAGAGAAGACTGTGATTCCAGGTCTTGAAGAACTGATTGTTTGTTTTCACCAATCACAGAGATTGTGTTGTCATCAGCATAGTTATATAAATTACAGTTCTTCAAGGCTAGAAATATGTCATTTATAAAGATATTGAAGAGACAGGGACCAAGAATACTTCCCTGAGGGATACCTTTCAATATGGTCTGCCATGAGCTTGTTGAATTTGAAATTTTTACTCTCTGTGGCCTGTCAGATAGGTAACTTTTCAAGAGAGAAGTAGCTGAGTCGCTAACTCCATAGGCAGTAAGTTTGGCTATTAAAATATCGTGCGGTAAACAATCAAACGCTTTTGACAGGTCCATTAACACTGTACCTACCACTTTGTTATTATCAAGGGCAAGCTTCCAGTCTTCGACTAATTTTAGTAACACAGACTGGCAGCTATACCCCTTCCTGAAAGCGCTAAGTAGTGGCGATAAAATATTATCAAAATAACAGGTAAGTTGATCAAAAATAATACCTTCCTGAACTTTAGATAGGCAGTTCAGGATACTCACAGGTCTGTAGTTACCTTTAGCTAGATCGTCCTTCTTTTTATAAATGGGAGAAACTTCAGCTGGCTTCATGCCAGAAGGAAATTTGGAAGACACTAATGATTTGTTTACAATAGGTGTAAGTGTATGAGCAAGAATGTCAGCTCCAATTTTGATGATTTTGGGGGGGATCCTGTCTTCCCCAGTTGCTTTCCTTGGGTTCATGTTTCGAAGTTTATGCTGGACAGCATCAACTGTCACAGGTTCAAAGTTAAACTGAGATGTAGAGCAATTTGGATGATTATGGATTATTGAAGTGACACTAGGGTTTAAATTAGCTGGTGTCGTGATATCAGATCCAATAGAGGTAGCAATGTTTATATAGTAGTCATTGAAAATATCACAAATTTGAGAATTGTCATGTATAATTTTCCCATTTTCACGTAGTGTGATGTTATTAGAAATAACGCCTTTATTAGACAAAAAAGGCTTAATAGTTGGCCAGAAATCCTTATTTTTCGGGCCATTTACACACTTGTCCAAAAAATAATTGTTGACTGAGATCCTACGAAGAGATGTACAATAATTCCGTTGTTTCCTGTAGGATTCCCAGTTTCGTGTGGATCGGTTAGAGTAGTAGATCTTACGTAGATGAGCTTTCTTACGTATAGCACGGCGATAGTTGGCATTCATAAAAGGCACCTCCTTTTTACGAGATCGTTTGGTTTTCAAAGGTGCGTGCTTGTCAATTAGATTGACTAGAAGTTTGCTGTAGGAATTATATGTGTCATCGACGTCTTCAAAATCTTTGCAAGTCTGGAAAGGAGTAGTTTTCAGATCATCGCGGAAAGCTTCGGGATCGAAAGACTTGTAGCTCCTGTATGTTATAGTCCTGGGTTTGGCTGGTGGTATAAAGCCCTTCAGGACTGTGAATACACAGTGATGAAAATCACTTAGCCCAGTGTCATAGGCATCTGTAAGTGTGAATAATTGACTCCTGTTTGTTAGTATGACGTCCAAAATTGATGGGGCTCCCTTGAAGCAGGTTGCAGTATTTACAATGTCAGTATTTACTTATGTCAGATCTGAGTCATTTATAAAGTGGGGGACAAAACTAAACCTCAACCATCAAAAGTTGTCTCAATGAGCTAAATTCTAAGTTTCGTGTCTCAAACTCTCCCAAGTGGTAGAAAAATAATTCCCGTTCACTTCATACCTGCAAATGATGGATAAATCCCTACCAAATCGACCGAATGTTTTTATCGCCCTGTTTGTAATCCAAGGAGGATTGACTCCCACAATGCAACATCAGTTAACTTGTGACAGGTTTCAAAATGTCGGTGCGGCATTTTGAAAGCTGGCACGTGTCATGTTGGATTCTGGGAGCCAATCCTCCCCTTGCAGCGTAATCGGGCTCCAAAATCACCTCAACATTTGAAGAGTGGGCATTAACATGTGAATATCCACTTCAACTTTTTAAGTTCTTATTTGTCATTATGGACACAAATTCCACTATATTTGGACTTCCTAGGACGGAGAAAATATAGCACTGAATACACTGAGGTAAGAATTTATTACATGTGCGACAGCATGTAATTTTCATAGCTATAGCAATTCTTTATGTCCCCAACTGTACAGTGTATGTATAATTACATATACTGTAAATGACTCAGATCTGGCATAAGCATCTCATATCATAGTGCTACAAGTTCCTGTGTGATACATGTAGGCTCTATTTATTATGGCTTATTACATTTGATAAATGCTTCTTTGGGTGGACTTTTACAGAACACACATGTCACTCTAAAGCCAGGTGTGTTCAGTAATGTGAACTGGTGAATCTGGAACATTGTAAATTCTAGTGTTACCCCATGGCAACACTCACTCAATGGCAGCTTATGATGGGTATTGTGTTTTCAGGAGAATCAGTCGCTGTTACCAGAGGGTCAACTTAAATTATGGCGGAAACTTTGCTTTGCGGTTGGAGGGTTACCATTCCAGATGACCAGCAATATCATTGGATTCTTTATTTCTATATTCTTACTGGAGGTTGCGCAGGTCTGTACTCTGTATATTGATCATTCACGATCTGGGTTTATATTCTTGTAACATTTTGTTATACAGTTGTATCCCATTGCATTTTAACTATTATCACCTTTTTGTGGTTTGTTGTCTTTTTTAGTGCGTGCACTCCGCAAGGCGCGTGTAACATTATATTCTTAGACGATGTTTATTATATATTTTACAAATACATGTAAAACAACTGATTGCAATATGTCACACATTATTCTTTTCTGTTGGTACAGAAATTTTCTATTTAACAGGTTGACCCATATTCTATCTCAATTATTGTACTCCTTGGTAAAGTATGGGATGCCTTTACAGACCCTCTCTGTGGTTTCTTAGTCAGTAGAACCAATACAAGATTTGGTCGCTACAGACCTTGGTAAGTGTTATCAATGCGGCTTATTGCCACATACTTGGAAAGATATTGACCATTTTTTTACATGCCAGATAAATGAGCAAAATAGTTAATAGTTAGGAAGTTTGTTCTTTTTTCTGTTAAATTTCATACCTAAGTCTGAGGTTTGTGAAAACACAGTAATTTTAAGTGAAATATCAGGATCTCAAGGATTTGAGCACCAAATTAAGAGTTTTATCCAATTATGTAATATATACATCTACATATTTCTATACTTATGAACTCTCTCATTGACCAGCACAGCTTTGTGCATTTTCAAATAACATGTACTTTCCATTTCACATTAAACTTCTGTTGTGTTTTTACTAACATAATATAATATAATAGTGTTTACTGTGTGTTTTGCAAAAGGGTGGTTGGTGAGAGTTACTTATTTGAATTTATTTATGCTTTGGACAGTAGTTATAGTATTTCAAAATACTTAAATAAAATAATATTTCATACTAATGATATTCTTTTATTCTGATATTTTCTTATTCATAGTTTAAAAACTTTATTAAATCATCTTTGTAATACATTGTATTTTAATTGTAGAGCACTGTTTTATTTTTTTTATTATACCTCTAATAGGACAGTAATCCAATCCAGTGCACAACCTTAGAAAACTTTACAAATCACTTGAAGTAATGTAATAACATGGCTCATTTATATGTGGGGAGGGGTCTATTGATCCTAGGTCTAAGGTACTATTCAAAAATCATAAGCTCCCCAGAAACATGTGGTATACAGAATGTGATACTTCATAGGTGATACATCTACATGTATAAGGCATTTTAAGGTCTAACTAAGGTTGTGCATTGGACTGAATGTAGTAGTAACATTTCTAATTATTTTAGGATTTTATTTTCTGCCCCATTTGCATGTGTTTCATACCTGATGTTATGGTATGTACCAGGGGTTAACAACTCAGGGAAGGTTGGATGGTACTTGGTCTTCTACTGCCTTTTTAATGGCTTTCTATCAGTAAGATTTTTCTTTCTAACTACGGTTTATTATATGGTTTTTTGTTCTTTTTAATCATTCACTTATATTTATTTATTTGAAATTTATTTACATAACAGCTGCTTATGCCTACTGTCAGGGGCGAATCCAGGATCCAAAAATAGGCAAGGCAAAAATAGGTTAAAGGAGGTCTCAACCAGGCTTCATTTTCACCATTTTAGTTGAAAATATGTCTCTATAACAGTACTACAGTAAAACCTGTGTATATCGAACATTTTTTTGCCAAGAAAAAAAATGTTCAGTGTTGGTAGGTGTTCACTACAGAGAGGGTAATTTATACAGAAGTCAGTATAGTATGTGCTGAGGAAACGTGTTCACTAAGACAGGTTTTACTGTATATTTCTGTTAAATTTTGGCGGGACAGTTGCCTCTCCTGGCTCATGTCTGGCTTTGCCCTTGACTTCTGTAGAATCATTTATGTTTCTGCATCTATTGCATTCTTTTTAATTGATGTGATAGTTTTACAATTACTCAATAATAAAGTTTAATCAAGTCTTCATCTAACTCCTTCGCGTATTATTCCTAACATTAGGCCGGAAAATTGGCGGAAATACATACTTTGGGAGGAGGTGTAATGTTCACAGTCACAGGAAGCTGTATCAGACTATTGCCTCTTTAAAGTTATGAGTCATTGTTGAAATGCTATTATTTTCAGTGCCTTCATGTTCCGTATACATCACTAACCATGTGTCTCAGTGATAATAAGAAAGACAGGGACTCGGCCACTGCATTGAGTAAGTAAAGTATATTTTGTTGACCATTATAATGGAAGTTTTATTTAAATTATTAACATTTAGAGTCAATGGGTCTGTTTACATGATAGTTAATACTGAAAATAAAACATTGCCTGAAAACTATTATTACTGCTGTCCAAGAGACATTTGTTTTTTCTCATTTTATTTATGAGTATATTATACTATTATCAGGCCGGTAGCCAGGATTTGCCAAGGGAGGGTTCACTTTTTAAAAAATTCCAGGGGAGTTCACTTTGGACAACTTTGGCCCTTTATTGCTCAGAATGGTGAAAACTGCATGATTTCAAGAGAATTTTTGGCCAGAGTGGATTGCTCAAACTCCCCCCCCCCCCTGGCTGCGGGCCTGATTATATTGTGTGTGTGTGTGTTCTGCCATGATAGGATACACATATCAATTGGAGACAGTATCTTTCAGCTTGTAATACAATATCCCTCATGTACTCAATCTTTCACCTTCTCTGTTGAGCAATATGTCTATATAGTTTGAACTGTATGTATGTGATGTGAAATTTGGTAGGTGACATTATAGTGGAACAGTACAACAAATAAATATCCAAGGTTTATTCAAATTCTTCATATGTTCTATAGGAATGGGAGCTGAAATAGGTGGTATTGTGCTGGGGACTGCTATACAGGGTGCACTGGTGAACAGATACAGAGTGGCCTCAGAATGTAGCTCTAATGGTGGGACACCCACTGTTTCACCAGAACAACAACTGCTTCAGGTAACGCTCTATGTATCTCATAATGTGTGTGCTTAACTCTAGCTAAATACAGAAAAAGTTTTGTCATACACTCGTACTTTCTGTTGTATGGGTGTAGCCAGGTATAAGGCAGAGCTTTGCCTTTAAAGAAATATATTTGTCAACTTTTTTTTAAACCAAGCCTTGGTAATTAAATAAAGTCAAAAGGTGCCTAAATATGTCTCGCTTAGACCCTGGTGACAAAATATCAGAGTCCTGCCCTGTAAACATCACATTCCTGTTCTTAAACATGGTATTCTTGTCCTGTAAGGATCATACAGGTTTTCCAAAATACATGCTCTGAATATCTTTCTACTAGTATGATTTCTTCCAACCAAAAAAGAAAAGATCATTGAAATTTCCATTTTTATTATTCAAATCTCCCTCTCTGTCACCAATATTTTATCAAATGTGTGTGTTAAAAATGTACTTTTTATGTGGTGTGTTACAGGAGAAGTCCTACATACTGGCAGCCATTATAACATGCTGTTTCTATCTCATCTGCTGTTGTCTTGTCTTCTTTGGAGTCAAAGAACATAAAAGTAGGTCTTGTTTGCCACATTTTTTTATTCCACTTCAGTAAAATATCATAATATGTTTGTAAAATAATGAATTATGATTAAATTGTGAATTATAGTCTGTCAGTCTATTCCATTTAAAATACAATGATGAAAACTCTTTTGTTTTTCAAAACTTTTGTGATTAAGAATTTGAGTTTCAAAATACTATGTTGATTGATAAAATTATTGTTGATAGATTGATTAAAATAATTTTTATTGATAAAAAAATTGCTTCAACTTGCAAACCTCAGATAATAGAAATTGCTTATACTATAGTACTGACGTACTGTACTTGGACTATTGCATTGTATTGTATCGTATTGTACTGTATTGTATTGTATTGAGAAATCCTCATTTTTTCATAAAAGCATGTTGAACAAGATGCATTATGATTTCATTATAGGTATATCTGTAGATGAAAAAGAGGAAGGTTTTCTCTCAGGGTTAAAGTTGGTGTTCACCCATGGTCCATATGTTAAACTAACCGTGGCATTCTTATTTGTATCTCTAGCAGTACAGGTGGGTGGGTGGCCATATGTAAAACACCTGCATAAATATTACTGTTTTAACGGTACCAGTATATGTGTGACAGTTTCGGATACATTCAGTACAAGTATCAGCCTGTTACTGATATTAGATATAGGCGGTGAAAACCCCATAAAACGTACAAGTACAAGATATGTAAATTACTCCTAAACATGTTCTTCAAAAGTGCAGAGTATATGCAAGTTATTAGTGCTCGGATGAAAGAATTGGCACCTTCACATAAGACATTTAGTTAGGTTTCACTAGCCTATACAGAACATTACATGAAAATAACAATTGAATAAACTTTAATATAAATACTTTTGTCCTAGGTGGTACAGGGCAACCTGGCTTTATACTGCACACATGCACTTAACCTTGGGAGTCACTTTGCATTAGGAATTCTTGTCTTATTGGTAAGTTATGATATTCTAATTTGTTATTCCTAATCCAATGAGATGTCAGATGCCATGAATTGTTCAAGGGATGGTATCAAAATAACAATGTATTCCCAACCAAAAAGTTATTTCACTTGAGGGTTGGAAGGGGTGAAGTTGAAAACTAAACCAATAGTATATTTTCATTTGATCTATTACAAGAACAAGTTTCCTTCTTTGATTTGATTTTTGCTATGAAAATTGTGAACAAAGACAGTGTACAGGTAACACTAAATTTATTCATTTTTCTGTCAAAAAGTTCATTTCTATCAAAGTCTAAAAATGTTGAAAAATGCTCATAAACAGAACATCAGAATCAGCCTAAAACTGTTTCGGAGTAAAACTGGGTTCCCCTATCCACAATGATTGCATTTTCGCCACTATAATAGCCCATTGTACTTTCTTTCAGCTTGTAGCTATAGCATGTATGCCACTATGGCAGATCTGTATCAGAAAGATAGGCAAGAAAGCCACATTTGCCTATGGCATGATAGTAAGTACCTGAGGTATCATTCTATTATAGCGGAAACATGTACATGTATATTATTTTTTATTTCTTCTATGGTTCTATATTCTGGCCATTGGGCAAATTTAAATAGGCAAGGACAAGATTTACATGCAAGAGGATATTAAAACATGTCTGAAAAAGTGTCAGTTAATGATAATACAAGGCGATGTCCTTATTAGAGAAAACATCTAGTCTTAAATACTTTCAACCACAAGATTGTCCAATATTTTCACTTATTACATATTACAGTAGTTACTTTTTGTTGCAGATCTTCATTCCGCTGTTGTTTGTACAGCTATTTGTTCCAGCAGGAAATGTTGCAGTTTTTTATGCAACCGTGGCAATAGCTGGTACTGCCCTCTCTGTAGCATTTTTATTGCCATGGTGAGCTTCTTTAATTATAATTTTACATGTAAACATTATTTAAACTTCATGACAAGTTTCATTTTATTTTGCAGTCATTTTGCATGAACAGAAATTGTGACAAAATTTTTAATCATTTTTTGTCCTTGATGCATGGGTCACATTTGCTCCAATTCATCGTCCGACACCGGGCTGATTGAGAATTTTGTTCAAAATTGTATTAAATTCTGAACAAAATACTCAGTCAGACGGGCGCCAACTCCGAGAAAATGTGACCCAAGCCATTACTAATCCAAATATCCCAAAAAGAATCGTGATTTCTAAACAAATGATGCGGCTTTAGATTTAAAATCCATGTATTACTCCAATAATTCCATTACATGAATAACAACTGCCCTAATACTAGAAGGAATAAAGTGAGCCAAAATCAGACACCAATTTTTGAAAAGTTGCTATTTATTCCTAATTTGACTTTTTGAAGATTAATCAAGATTGTGCATTAGATCATATACTTTAAAATTGTTAATTTGAAAACATTCTATGCTTATTGAAAAATGTTTTTGTTAAACCTTTTATAGGTCAATGCTGCCTGATGTTCTCGATGACTTTATGTTGAAGACAAACACCAGGAAAGATGCCCTTTTCTACTCTTTCTATGTCTTCTTCAACAAGTTAGCTGTAGGGGTCTCACTGGGACTGTCACAACTAGCACTGGGGTATATAATTTTTTATTTTTGTCTCTTACCATTTAAGTGTTAACTTATTGATGTAACCTCAGTCAACACCCTAGTGAATTCTGTTTGAACACATGTGCACTTGTAGTATCAATTGTAGTATCAATTGTAGGATCAGTGGAATATCAAATGATATAAAATACTAAAATGTTAGTTTTGTAAATGTGGAACATAAGTGGAACACCGCTAGAAGTAGAATATCTCTGTTTATGGAAAACATTTCAGAGTCCCAAGACCAAGTGACTTAATGTTTAATGAACCTCTATATATAAGTGGAACAACTCCCAAGTGGAACACATTTTAGAGATACCAAAGGTGTTCCACTTTGACAGGTTTTACTGTTCACTTAAAATTGTTGTAATCTGCTTTCAGTATTGGTGGCTATGTGACTGGGGCATGTACACAACCAAAATCGGTTGGCCTCACTCTGAGATTATTAGTCGCACCTCTACCAATCGTCTTTATCCTGATTGGTCTTCTGGTTCTCTGGTCCTATCCAATTACAGAGGAGAGGAGACTCAGAACGCAACAAGAATTATATGAAAGGTACAGTAACAAGATCTACCGTAGACTACCAATTGCATTCTTTCATGTCAGAATCTCGATAGGGTCAGACTTAAATGTCAAATGAATAACTTATTTTTGACTAGATTTCAAGACTATGAAAATTTCAAAAGAAAATTATAATAAACTTGTACTTCAAAATGGGCACTTCTTCCGTATGAACTTAATATTAATGAAATAAAAAGTTGATGTCCGTCAGTTTCTTTTTTCACCAGTAAACAACCTTAAAGTTCAATGCCAGATGCTAAAACCACACATATTTCAATTTACTTCCATATTCCAATATTTTGTTTTCTAATTTCTTGGATTTTTCCAGATATTGTAAAACTCAAAGTAGAAAAGTGGAGGTGGAGGAATGCGCACAATACAATGCAGTCTCAGAGGAAGTCAAGATATAACAATAGTTATGCCCAGGGGTGCAGGCTGTGTGCTACACATTTCATATTTAAAGGTCAAAAGTGCCCATAATTTAATACCCACAAGTGCCCAAATCTTCCCCCAAAAATCTGGTTGAGCATAGGACTGTAATACATGGGTATGGGCACAGATCTTATACCATGGATAAAGTGCACTGTATTTTGCATGTTGAAATTAACCGGTCCATTAACTTTTGAATAGACTGGCACTCCCTGTACAGTAGTACAGTCCCCTCTCACAGATATTATAGCACCTCAATGAGTTACCGTCCAGAACATTCTTGATATTAACACAATGATTTTTGTCTGATCTTAAACATATTTATTCTTATGCCAGGTACATCTATAACACCCCGACATTTGATCTTGGAATCCTACCTTGACTGGACTTCAGCAAACATGAGGTTTGGGCAAAATAGGTTCAATTCTTATCCCGGGCATAAGAGATCTGTGTGATCTGTGTGAACAAATGTCGGGGTGTTACTATATTTTAATTCTTGTGCTTTTGAGCCAAAATCAGGATTGTCCTTCACAAATGTGGGGCAAGGTCAAACATAGATGTATTCCCATTAATGTTAAGTGAATGGGGTAGAAGTCCATTACATTTTGTTATTTCTGATTGAAAAAAACAATGGATTAATTACTTAGTATAATTTGGGACTGTAACATTGAGATTTTGGCCTAGTCTTAGATATGCTAATCAGCTATCTATGGTACAGCCCACCACACACCCAGAATGTGCCAACATAATATTTATTTTTTAGTAAAATATATTATTAGACAGTTTTAACATATAGAACTTACATGATAAAAATGAAGTAATTGTTAATATGAGTTAAGTTTAAATGATTTGTATGTGATTTTATATAATGTCTTACTTTTTGACTTCATGCTTTGACAATTTATATGATTTAATATAATGTTTAGTCAGATTATTGTGATATTATTTATACATTTATGAATTTGAGTGTGCAGTAAAATATCTTTGCAATGAAAGTACAGAATACATTCCATGAACAAAATATGACTGTACATGTAACATTTGGATCATGTCAAAGTCTATATAAAACAGTGTGAAGTATGAATATGAATATAAAACAATAAGGGTCTCAAAAGAAAGTATTATATAACTAGATCATATATGAGACCACTTGCACTGACTCATAAGATAGCATAGTTAACGTTTAAACACTCTTAAATTGTTAAAATGCAAGATTATATGTTAAATAACTGATTACAATACTATGCAATTAGAATTAGAACGAACTGGACGTACTACGAACTACGTACTACGAACTTAACCGTCGTACTTCAATCCTACCAGGGACGTTTTTACAACGAGTTGAACTGTCTGAGGACGTATTGAAAACGAGGTAGAACTGATTGCAAACGGGTTTAAACTGATTAAAAACGTATTAAAGACTGCTTATGAACGAGTTAGCAAAAATATAGCTATCACACCAAACAAGTTGCCACTGCGTTCTTCAAAACTTTTAAACTGTGTGCGAATTACGAGTGATTGAGTGAACGTAGCTGCAACTTTCTAAGGACTGTTTACGAACTTCATGAACCTTCTCAGACGGGAAGGTGATTTTAGAATTCGATTGCGACCATACCGTTCTGTAATCAGGTCATGATGACCTTCTAGACGGGTTTTCGTAAAACACCGACCGCCGACCACCGACCAGTCACTCTCCACAGTTGGGTACATGTGGTCGGTGGTCGGCTGACGGTCTTTTACATAAAGATGAAAAATACAAAATTAGAAGTAAAACTAAAACTGGGAATCCAATGACTATAGTACCTTTACTAGGTCGTGATTTAAAAACGTATAATTATCATTTCAAATCACGATGAAAACGTTACATCGTCGTGGTGTGTAATGTCATATTTTTAAGTGATGTTTCAGTTGTTAGAAGACCAATTTCATCCTGGTTAGTCACTTTGGAAAAAACGCACGTAACATTGCATTACGTTCATTCTTCATTCATATGAAACGCAATAACAAAAACACACAAACATCGTCGATGTTGACGTCGTAACGTTATGTTTGATTTCTCAGTTGTTAAACGTCAACTGGTAAAAACTACATTTGATATGACAAAAAAAAGCTTTCTAATGGTGTACTGAAATGGTAAGTCACTTTTAATCCCGATAAGAGAACGCATGTAACATTATATCGTGTTCAGTATTCAGTAGGCTATGACAATAACAAATCATTTTTGTTTCGAAATTGTTTTTTTGTTTTTTTTTTTTTTTTTTTTTTTGTTTATTTTTTTTTTCTCAATATACATTTTCACTACACAAGGATACAAGGATACAAGTGATTTGCTGTAAGCCGTTTTTACAAATGAAATAGAAATACAAAGAATACCAAATTCGACACACAGACCCATTCCACTCACACGACATTCATTCAATCATGCATACCACACACATACAATCACTCATCAAAAATATTTTCCAGTCTGAGACCTTCGTTTAAATAGGCTTGAAATCCAACACAAGTCAGTGGCATGTTGGAATAATAAGCTGTATGAACATAGTATTTTAATATCAAAACGGAAAAGTTAAACGTTCTAAAATGTTTCCTATCGAAATACCCAACAATGACGTGTTGCTCATTTAAGTGTATATCCTTTTCTCTCCATTGATCTCCGAAATATTTTAAAAGACTTTTGATGTTCTTGCACTCCCAAAAACGGTGGACAATCGTCTCTTTTTGGCCGCAAAAATCACATTTATCATTCGTACGTATACCAACAAGTTTAAGGTACAAATTTGAGGCATAAATATTATTAATAATCTTATACTGTAATTCCCAAAAAGCGTGGTTTTTGGTTATGTCATATACCATTGAACACATATCTCGAGCGTTAACATTATATTTGCAACATAAGCGCTTAACGCTTATTGATTCAGAAAAACATTGTTGATTGATGTACAATTGAATCATTTTTGTATTCAAATTTTTGATGTGGACCGTTTTGTTACCAATAAAAAACTCTTCGATGCTTTCAGTATATTCGGTTTCACACTTCGCTTTCGGATCGCTTTTTAAAATTGATTTCCATTTCTTTGGAATGGAAGATATTAGGCTAATGTAGTCTAAAAAGTTTATATCCACCTGGAACTTGTATTTAAAATCATTCAGTTCCATAAAACTACCATTCCCATTTAGTAAATCATTTATTTGAACAACCCCCATTTCGAAAAGGCTTTTTTGAAATATCTGTTTACCCTCCCTAAGTATGTATTTATTATGCCATAGTATCTCGCTCTTTACCTCAGAACTGTTTTTTGGTTCCTCCGTCTCACTTACCGTTGAATAATATGAAAGAGCATTCATATAGAAATCGGGGATTTTTTGTTTAAATAGGCGTACATCATATCTACATTGCAGAAGTAGATTAAGACCGCCAAAATGTTCAAAATATATTCGCGGAATCACTTTCCAGTGGCTAAGTTGGTCATCAAGGAATCGTTTAAGCCACATAATTTTTAGTGCTTTTTCCATCGATGTCATGTTCACCATACGAATGCCCCCCTGATCATAAGATCCGACCACAGTATTTCGCTTTATTTTATCCCGTTTCCCTTTCCACAAAAAATTATAAATCAAAGTATTCACCTTTGAAATGATGCTGTCGGGCGTAACAGTCATGGACATAGAATATACGATCTGTGAAACTGCAAGGGATTTGATTATCATAATACGACCGTAAATGGTGAGATTTCGCTTACCCCAGAGGTTCAGAACCCTCTTCAACGATTCTATTTTCCGGTCAAAATTTATCGCCTTATTATGCTCTGGATCGTATGATACACTGATGCCTAAAAACTTACTTGGCCTCTTTACCCAAATACAGCCCCCAATATTCGGATTTACACCATCATGGTTGGCACCAACACTAAAACATTCGGTTTTTTCCTTATTAATTTTTAGGCCCGATAATTGATAAAAATTTTCGAAAATGCTTAAGGCAGCTTCAAGGGAATTTGCATCTTTGAGTATTAGAGACGTGTCATCGGCATACATAATCAATTTCTGAGTGTGGCCATTTAGATCGATTCCTTTCACATTTTCATCTTGCCTGATCTTAAGGGCAAGAACCTCAATACATATAACAAAAAGGGAGCAACTTAACGGATCTCCTTGACGGACACCCCTATGTACTTTAAACCACCCAGTAGAATGCCCGTTGTTCAATACGCAGCTATTGATATCAGTGTAAAAGAGCTTAACCCAACGGATTAACTCATCGCCAAAATTAAAGTACCGCAACGCAAAATCAATAAAACTCCATTCGATACTGTCATATGCTTTTTCAAAGTCAATTAAAGAAATAATGCCTGGTATTTTCCTTTCTCTAGTATATACTAGTAAATCCTCCATAAATCGAATGTTTTCGCCAATCAGTCTTCCTTTGACAAAGGCAGTCTGATCGGGTTCAATAATCGCACAGAGAACCGCTTCAATTCTCTTACTTACCACTTTAGAAACAATTTTATAATCTATATTTAACAATGAAATTGGACGCCAGTTTTTAAGCAGAGATAAATCCTTTCCCGATTTTTCAATCAAAGATATTACGCCCTGCCTTTGACTAACAGATAAGAGTCCTACTCTAAGTGAGAGGTTAAAACTGTCAACAACACCTGTCGAAATGTCGTTCCAAAATGCTTTATACCATTCGGCCGAAAGGCCATCACTCCCCGGTGTTTTGTTGGACTTAAACGTTGAGAGAACTTTAAAGCATTCTGCTTCAGTAAGTCTGAGTTCGCACGATGCCTTCTGCGCTTCAGATAGTTTACGCGACTGTAGATTATTAGTAAAAATGTCAAAATCTTTGAAATCGGGCGAGACCTTTTCAGAGTATAAATCTTGATAAAAGAGTTTAATTTCATTCAAAATACGAGTATCATTTTCGATACTTACTCCACCAATCGACAAATTTGTTATGTGATTTTTCTCGTGGCTTGATTTTTCCAAATTAAAGAAAAAAGACGTACATCTTTCATTTTTTTCATACTGGTCAATTTTTGCTCGGATCAAATGACCTTCCGCCTTATAGATACACATTTTTTCAAGTTTGACTTTTGCTCTTTCATAGGCTTCACATACCGAAGAGATTAAGGTAGAGCCGTCACTTGCAATTAAAGATTCAAGATGTTCGATTTCCTTTAGTAACTCAAGTTCAGCTTTTCGATTTTCACGACATTTTAACTTAGAAAAATGTATTGTCTTTTCCTTAATTTTGAACTTCATGAATTCCCATAATTCGATCTTGCTGAGATCACGGTGCTCGTCACGTAATTTTGTTATGAGGCTTCGGATGCTTAAAGAGTACTCCTCGTCTTGTAGCAAACTATTATTAAATTTCCAAAAACCCGCCCCCCTCATTTCTGTATCCAAACCAATATTAAGTCGTAATAATTTATGATCAGAAAGAATGGCAGGCTCGATAAAGCACTCACAATTCTTTTTGATCCTCCTGTCAACAAAAAACATATCAATCCTACTTTTAAATTTAGAATTTTTAAACTCATCCTTCGCAAAGGACTCATAAGTATATTGTACCGCAGAAGGGTTTAACGTTCTCCAGATATCAAAAAGATTAAAATCATGTATCATTGATCTCACGATACCGGCAGATTCGGATTCTTTATGTTTTGTCATTCCGTAGGAATATCTATCCGTATTAGGGTCGAGAATCATGTTACAATCACCTCCTATAATCAAAAAATCTGAAGCAAAGTTCGTTGAAATATGAGTGTGAAGCTTTTCAAAAAAAGTCTTATTTTCGTGACCATCGTTTGGCGCGTAGATATTCACAAAAGTATAAGAGTGAGTACCTATTTTACATTTAATGATAACATACCTACCTGACGAATGTGTATCGATATCCAAAATGTCATATCGCTGATGTTTAGAAAAAAGTATCGCGACTCCACGCTCGCTCCGTTTTTGACCATGCGCAAAATATATATCAGATCCCCATTCCCTTTTCCACATATTTTCATCGGCTATTGACGAATGGGTTTCTTGTAGAAAAACAACATCAAGTCTTTTTCTTTTCAGAAATAAGAAAATAGACGCCCTCTTTTTATTTTGTCTCAGTCCCTTCGTATTTAGGGACCCTAAATTTAAGTTACGGATAGGAGCAATATGGTTTCACCAAAGATTTAGCCATAAGACCGCGTAACACAGGCATACATACATTATACTTGCCAAGGTGGTCAAAACCCCGGAGGAATATCAGATAAAAGCATTTTATATTTTCTCGGTCTAGTGCATCTACAGATAGGATATAACACACTACCTCATACCTTACACAATAAAAACTCGTATATGTATTTGAGTTACTCACATAAATCCTGTTCAATACAAAAGACATGCACACACAAAAGGCATTCAGGTGCAACACACTCACGCACATCAAAGCACACACTATCGCACATAAATACATGGTATGATTTGCAAAGTCACAAAAACATACATTCACACCCAAACATTCGAGACTCACAGAGTATTTAACAGAAACAATATTCATTTTCAAAATACAAAAAGACGCCGCTTCAAAACCTTTGCATAGAAGTCCAGTCGTATGCGTACAGTAGCGGTAATAATTGAATATACAGTTTTTAAAAAAAATGTGGTTTACAGAACATAAGTTATATACCCTTCTCAACCATTACTTAAATTCCTACAATAAATCACCCTGGCTGTTGGGAATAGTTAAATTTCAGTAAAAAATTATGATAGATTCCCGTAGAAACGATAGGTTGGTTCATGATAGGTTAGGACCTAAGGCAGGGCAATTAATCGAGAGGAGACGGTCATGACCAATTTGTTTGCTTGCCATTCGTTGCAAGGTACAAAATCGGTAAAAAACGTTGCCTAGTCCAACGATTGACATTCAAAATCAAATTATTAAGGCTACAAATATGTTCGGTTTTTTACATGATATGGTCGGTCTTTTACACATTTTCTTCAAACCCTGTTTTGAGGCTACCAGTGGAAAACACCGACCGGTCGGTGGTCGGTGGGGTCGGTCTTTTCCGAAAACCCCGTTCTAGACTAAGGGGACGCGTTATACGACTTTGCACGCCGACGTGGTGCGACCTGAACGAACTGCGAATGCGATGGACGTATTGACGACTGTTTATGAACGAAGTAGCTTTTATTAGACATATTTCCCGACCATAGCCAGATTGAGCCCGTTTTACGACGTTTTCGTAGGACTGGCAAGAACGGGTAAGAACTAGTTTGGTGTGAAAGGGGGGTAAGCGCATCCCTAGTAGAGTCGAAGTAAGGCAATTACGTTCCTAGTCTAGTAGGTCATCTTGTTTGAACTACGTTGTCACTCGATTTAATTACAGAACGGTATGGCCGCCGTCGAATTTTGAAATGGTTCAAAATTCTAAATTACCTTCCCGCCCGAGCACGTCCAAGTTCTTGCTTATAGGCAGTCTTTATCCCGTCGACACAACGAATCCAAGCAGGTCAATTACGTCCTTGGTCAGTTTAAACCCGTTTTCAACACTTCAGTGGTAGGATTGAAGACATCTCAAGAAGTGTGTGAAATGGATTAAAAATACATTAAAATGATACGTTGTAATACCTTTCGAACAGAACTTTTCTCAAATAGGGTACATAATAATAATTGCCCAGACGGACGTACGGATAGACTGGTGGAGGATTCTTTATATCCCCTGAACTCCGTTCATCAATATGCACACAGGATGTCACGTTTGCTTATAATAACCGTAGTGTTGAAAACAATATGAAGAATACATGATTTTATGCCCATCAGATATACAGGGTGGTCCAAAAAAAAGTGAACCCCTGCAACGGGCAATATTTCCCTTATTACTTGCAGGAATTCTGTCATATTTTCACATGTTGTAGAGGAAGGTCTAACATTTATGTTGGTACCACATATTTTTCATGAAATTTGCAGAAATTATAAGCCCTAACCAAACAATACTGAAAATGGATAAAATGTGATTTTCAATATCCGCGATTCTTCAACCCTTCAACACCCGTCCCCTGACATTTTTTAAGCTGCAGTCTCAAAGAACTAATATTTTCTGACTTTGTTCAAATTTGAATCCTGTACATTATGACCTAAAACTAGCATCCTACCTTTGTTAGTTGCATAGTTATTGTGATCCCAAAAAATGTTCTAAGCTTCCATTGACAAAAACATTTTCCAGTGAAATCGCAATTATACCCCTATATGATCTTAGAATGTCAATATCTTCATAAATCATGTACCAATTCTAATGAAATATGGCTCGAAACATTGAATATTTGATTTTCTTTTGATTTTTAAAGCTAACTGATGAAGGGTTTCTCAGATACCCGGTCACAGGGGGCAACTTCCTTCCACAAGAGGCCCCCTCTAACTGTTTGTGTAAGTAACATACCCCTGAGCTGTTGAATGGTTAAAACTGCTTCAGAATGAACAATGAACGTGTGAAATGTGTTTTCTGCTCAAATAGTGTCCCATTTGTCATATGGTAGAGTTTTAAACTTGTATCTCTAACTGAAAGCTGTTTAAGATCATCCGGTGTGTTTCAACACTTTCCGTGAATCACATTGGTAAAATTTTGCACAATATCTTATTTTCAGGCATGTTTGTTAAACTCTTGTAATTTCTTCAAAATTTAAGACTGAGAATAAATTATGGCATCAACCAAAATTTTAGACCTTTCTCTACAACATGTGATAATATGAGAGTATTCATGCAAGTATTAAGGAAAATATAGCCTGTTGCAGGGGTTCACTTTTTTGGACCACCCTGTATTTGATCATTCAACTTATAAAATTAAAATTTATTTCGAAAATTTACCTGATAAATGATTCATCTTGTCAAAATACTTTAAATAATTGCTGATGCTTTACAAACACACACAGAGTTTATTTTGAACGTATCCGCATCTAAAGAATAACTCACATTCTAGTTAGATGGCCTTGATACATGAGGAATGGAATATAACTTATTCAACTGCTTTAATTTTAATTTGGATGAAACTTTATCAAAATGGCAGATAAACGAGAAGACCCTTGTGATAATAAACAGGTGCCAGAGGTAAATATGATTTTATAGAGTGCTAATTCTTGTCTGGTGGTGGAGTAAAACTAAAAGGGATCATTTGAAGTGTGTTTGATCATTGGTTTTGGGTTGATTGGTTTTTTTATTATTACCAATTATATTTCAATGAAATCCTGTGATAAGGGCTGGTGTGAAAAGGTCAACCCATCCCAGTGGGGATCGAACCCACGACCCCTCGCTCTTTAATGCTATGTTTCCTCCTTAGACTGCTGTGTTTAGATCTTCAAAATGAAAGCAGACAACATGAACTTTCAGTTTATTTCCAAATTTTCAGATCAGACAAATTCCTAATTTATGGCTAAGAAAGGCAGCTACGATCATCTTCGCCTGGGATTTGGACAAAGATGGCTATGCCGGGTATGATGATACAATGAATACAGCAGAAAGGTTTATCAGAGCTGGTAAGTAGCTGTAATTATGTAATACTACTGAATACTACAATTTTTATATGGACACCTGTATGCATTTTGTCTAATATTAGAAAAATATAAGGAATTAACTTGACAAAAATGCCACAACCTGCAAGTATGACCCAATGAGCGTCTTTTTTCTTCGCCCAAATGAGCTCAAATCAACCAACTTCCAACTCAAGCCAGTCAATTTTCATCTTAGGTGATATGAATGGAAAATCTGCTGATAATGTAATAGAGTTCTTCCGAGATTACACAAAGCGCAAAAGTGATAACCCTGTGGAAGGAATTGTCAAAGCAAGATCTTTGTCAGAGCAGCTAGTGGGACTTTGGAGAGCCAAGAGTGATCCAGTTGCACTGAAGTCGTTGTTCCAAATATATATTCACATGTTTCAGGTAAAACAAAAAATATTTAAGCCTATCTTTGTATGACACGAATCGGATTCATGATGCTTAAGTGAAATATGCCTGCTTCATTTCAATACACAAACAAATGTATCTAGATGGGAGGACATGTTTTATAACACCAAATTCTGGTGATTCGGAATATTGATCAGGAAAAGTTTAAATAGCTTTTCCACATTGAAAAATATTGATATGATTTGCATTAAGTTTAGAAACGGAGTAGAAAATCCCAAATTATTCCCACGAGAACTTCAATTTGAATGCTTTACTCAAAAAATAGTAAACATGATATCACATAACCATCATTGTGTAGCACTGTACAACGTCTTCATAATTGGTTTTACCCGAAGAGAAGGGAAAATGGTTCACATTCTTCATTACCTTTGCAGATTATTGATGTCAATGCAAAGGGATACCTTACATTCGACGAATATTTAGTGTTTTGGAACACATTCAAACTAGATAAGAGATTCGCAAGGATACAGTTTGACTTCATGGATACTGACCAAGATGGTAAAATAAGCGAAGAAGAGTTTTTGAACGCTCACGAAGATTACCTTATGAATACAGAAGATGATACGCTTAATCGATTCTACGGACCACTCATTAACTACTAGTTCATAGACTTTAAATTCTAAAATATCTCAAATATTTTGGAAAATGATTGCGACATGATTCTTATTGAACTTTCAATTGATTTACCACTTTTACTTTTTGTACAAATATTTCAAAGAATGTTTTCAACTGTTTTTAATTGTATTGTGTTTCAATTGTGTAAAATGGATTAAAATACATTTCAGTGATGAGATTTTTAAGTCCTAAACTTGACAAAAATTGCAAAGCGAAATCCAAAATTTCCAAAAGTATGATTGACAATATTTTTAGTTATAAACTTACAACGATACAATGGGCACTGACTCTTTTCAAGGGTAAGTGGTCCATGATCCAATTTTAGGAGAATTGGTTTCTTTTGTATTGACTATGACATGATGAGGTATGTATATTGAGAAGAAGCAAGTGGATGTAATTAGTTCAGTTTCACTGCACATCATTTAACAGGGCATGTATAGTTTTAAGTTTGTTGCTTTTGTGTTTACTATGCAACTATTGAAAGAGTGAATACGGTATACTTAGTTAAGCTTTAGTGCACTGCATGAGCCGGTCATTCATCTTTTGTGTCACACTAGTTTTGGATAGCTAATGCCAAGTGTACATTCCTAAAAACAATAAAGAAATAAGGCACTCCTCTTTGTTATAGCTGTGTATTCTTAAAAATAAAATACAGTTCATAATATTGTGTTGCTACCTAAGTGTAAATTAAAATAATATAAACTATAAAGATCGCATGGTTGTTCGTACCACAAATACATTCTCCTTGAACGAAGTAAACAAAAATGTCATTATAACCAAAAATAGTATTTGATGAATGAATCTGTATTTGAAGAATGACACACCGTGTCAAAATGCTTTAAATACTATTTGATGCTTTACAAACAAATACAAAGCTTATTGTGAACGTATCATAAGAAAATATCATGTAATTTCTAAAGAAAAGTATGAGTACTGTTTTTACTTTTTTATCTAACCTAAAAAGGTAGTTATTATTAGGATGTATACGATATTATACATTTTTAATTCTATTAAGGTGAATATCTGTGCATCTTGCACAAGTGATATTCCACGAAGCCCGAAGGATTGATTTCTATTTTCAGGCATGTTCCTTGATACATGGTATAAATATCTATAACTGAAGTTTCGTTTAAGTTGGCCATCTGGTTGTTTCAAGACTATGTAAATTTCAAAAGAAAATTATAATATACTTGTACTTCAAAATGGGCACAACTATCAGTTGACTTCCAAAAATATACTTTAGCGAAATACATTTTTCAACTCATAGAAATCCTAATATACAGGGTGACCCAAAAACAGAACCCTCTAAAAGTGTAATAATTTCTTAAATACCTATCCTATCAACTCAATGTTTTATGTACATAAACTAGATTCTATGTATGATAAAATTATACAGTATTAAATTTATTACACAAAATTAATTATTTGTGATATCATGGATGTTCTTAGAGTGTCCATTATTCGGAAAATCAATATTGAGACAAAATCATATCTCAAGATTCTTCTTGAAATTCTGAAGGAAATTTTAAAGAAGACATGAAATCAAAGTCTCAATTCATATTTTAATTGATAAATGAAGAATAGGCAATTGTAAAATATCTAGAAAAGAATGGCCTCTGAGCAAGAACACCTCAAACACTGTATAAAATTCCATTGGATGAATTCTCAAGAAATCATGAAGACAACAGAATGATCGGCCGAGAGCACTGTGATATCAAAGTCAAATATTTAATACTGAGTTGGAAGATAAAAAGGAGAACTGTTAAACACCTGAATGGAAACAAAGATCAACTTTCCTATCCAGGAAGGTTTTTAGAATGGGGGTATGAGAACACCAGAAAGCACTGTGTGTGATTGCATTGAACGTAGTTCCAAAATATCACTCAGAAGGTGCACCTGCACCAACCTCTATAGTCACAAAATGCAGCATAACAAGAAACCAAATGAATGTGATGGGTTTAAGCAAAGGAGGTGTAACCCTTTGGTTGACACGAAAATCCTAAAATGTTCTTTTCTTTTAAAGGTGGGCACATTTTCTAATTGACAATGACAAGAAGAATATTGAATGTTATGTTACGAATTTAGTGTAACATTGTCATCCATAGATTGTAGTTTCTGTACATGAAAAATGAAGATTACATAAGTATTCAAGAAATTATTATATTTTTGGCGGGTTCTGTTTTTTGGTCACCCTGTATACCTGTATGAAGTTAATATTAATGAAATAAAAGGTTGATGTCCTACAGTTTCATTTTTCACCAGTAAACAACCTTAAAGTTCAATGCCAGATGCTAAAACCACACATCTTTCAATATACTTGCCATATTCCAATATTTTGGTTTATTATTTCTTGGATTTTTCCAGATATTGTGAAACTCAAAGTAGAAAAGTGGAGGTGGAGGAATGCGCACAATACAATGCAGTCTCAGAAGAAGTCAAGATATAACAATAGTTATGCCCAGGGGTGTAGGCTGTGTGCTACACATTTCATATTTAAAGGTCAAAAGTGCCCATAATTTAATACCCATAAGTGCCCAAATCTTCCCTCAAAGATCTGGTTGAGCATAGGACTGTAATACATGGGTATGGGCACAGATCTTATACCATGGATAAAGTGCACTGTATTTTGCATGTTGAAATTATCAACCGGTCCATTAACTTTTTAATAGACTAGCACGCCCTGTATAGTAGTACAGTCCCCTCTCACAGATATTATAGCACCTCAATGAGTTACCGTCCAGAATATTCTTGATATTAACACAATGATTTTTGTCTGATCTTAAACATATTTATTCTTATGCCAGGTACGTCTATAACACCCCGACATTTGATCTTTGAATCCTACCTTGACTCGGACTTCAGCAAACATGAGGTTTGGGCAAAATATAATAATTCTTATGCCCAGCATAAGAGTAGATCTGTTCTTATGCCCGGTGTGAAAGAAATGATGGTCCCCCAGCGATTATGGTCCCCTTTCTTAACAGCCTTTACTGGCCCTGATTGCGTATAAGATAATGAGGGAGAGTTGTATTTAGGTCACCATATAAATCAATGGAGAGTAGGACCATAATTTGAGATGACATCCTACGCTTTTACACCGGCATAAGAATAGATATACTCTTATGCCGGGCATACAACAGATCTTCCCTTATGCCTAGCATAAGAATTGAACCTATTTTGCCCAAGCCTCATGTTCGCTGAAGTCCAAGTCAAAGTAGGATTCTGAGAACAAATGTAGGGTGCTACTATATTTTAATTCTTGTGCTTTTGTGTTAAAATAAGGACTGTTTTCACAAATGTGAGGCAAGGTCAAACATAGATGTATGCCTGTAAATTTTAAGTGAATGGGGTAGAAGTCCATTACATTTTGTTAGCTCTAATTTGAAAAACAATGGATTAATTACTTAGTATAATTTGGGACTGTAACATTGAGATTTTGGCCTAGTCTTAGATATGCTAATCAGCTATCTATGGTACAGCCAACCACACATCCAGAATGTGCCAACATATTTATTTTTTAGTAAAATATATTATTAGACAGTTTTAACATATAGAACTTACATGATAAAAATGAAGTAATTGTTAGAATAATATGAGTTAAGTTTAAATGATTTGTATGTGATTTTATATAATGTCTTACTTTTTGACTTCATGCTTTGACAATTTATATGATTTAATATAATGTTTAGTCAGATTATTGTGATATTATTTATACATTTATGAATTTGAGTGTGCAGTAAAATATCTTTGCAATGAAAGTACAGAATACATTCCATGAACAAAATATGACTGTACATGTAACATTTGGATCATGTCAAAGTCTATATAAAACAGTGTGAAGTATGAATATGAATATAAAACAATAAGGGTCTCAAAAGATAGTATTATATAACTACAGGGTGTCCCGAAAGTATGGGCCCCCCCCCTAGGCAGACATACACCAATGTCCCCATAGTATGTGTCATATATCATTTCAAAGCTTGTCCAAAGTTACACTGATTTGCCAAGTATCATGGTTCAACTCACAAACGGGAAAAAGTTACACACATTTCAAAATGTAGTGTTTTACCAAAATTAAAGTTTAGTTTTACACAAAATTAATGGTCACCGTGTCTCCCTTGGCCATGTTAACAGCAGCAATTCTTTCCAGATATGACCTTTAATACACTGCAAATAGGGGTATGGCATTTAATAATCCTCATAAAACCGTTTTAAGGCATTTTAGAAGAGTTTCCTTGGAGTATCTACCCTAAAAGTCCTCTTTTTAGAACTCAATATCCATCCTCTCTTTAACGATAGCACCCATATTTTTGGTCACCTTCAGGCTAGCGGTATTTCCAGGATACTGATTTTAACTTTAATTTTGGCCATACACTAAGTTTTGAAATGCCTGTAACTTTTTCCCATTTGTAAGTTGAATGATGATACTTGGCAAATCAATGTAACTTTGGATAAGCTTTAAAATGATATATGACACATACTATGGGAACATTGGTGTATGTCTGCCTAGGGGGGGGCCCATACTTTCGGGACACCCTGTAGATCATATATGAGACCACTTGCACTGACTCATAAGATAGCATAGTTAACGTTTAAACACTCTTAAATTATTAAAATGCAAGATCATATGTTAAATAACTGATTACAATACTATGCAATTTTTTAAAATTGTAATCATGTACTTATAACAAGAAATAAACAGGTGTTTTTAATCAGAACTGAAATCTTTAATGTTGCTTGGTATACAAAATTCAGCATTTCCCTGAGAATTTTAATTATTACAGCAAGACATATCCAGTGATATCTGAGAATGTACTTGATTATCTCCTAAAACGTTTTGTATGTTAACCTACATTGCTTGTAAATGATTGTATCTCCAGTGACTGTCTCAGGAAATTCTTGAGTTACTCTTCGAATTGTTAATGTTCATCAAGGAGGATTGGTTCCCTGCCATGCCTTTTGCAAACCTTTGAAGCGAGAACAAAACGTTAAGCAACGGAAGATAGCCGAGCAAAATTCCGATTCTTATTTAGGGTTGGGTTTGGGATTAGGGATAGGGCTCGGGTTGAAGCGGAGACTTACATACCTAATCTTCGGCCATCTCCGATGCATACCAAAGATACATTTGGAGTTCTGTCGATACCATTGCCTCTTGCTCCCAACCGTTCTTTCCAGTCCTACAAAAAAGTCTACGCTGCACGCAGAGTCTAGTTAAGAAGCGAAGTCGTCAAACGAATACAAATGGCAAACGTCGTTAAACGGGCTAAATCTGGCTGTGGTTGGGAAATAATTAGCTACTTCCTTAATAAACAGTCTTCAATACGTCCATCTCATTCGCAGTTCGTTCAGGTCGCATCATGTCGGTGTGGACACGTACTGCAATCGATGTTCGATTGCAAAACGTCGTTACCCTACTATCACACCAAACTAGTTTTCACTACGTTCTCGAAAACGGGTTTCAACTGTGTACGAACGGACTGGCCGTACTTAGAACCATTTGGGGTCTATTTACAAACTTCATCGAACGTACTTAAACCATAACTTAAACAGCCTCTAGAAGTTAGAACATGCTCAAAATGCTCTCGTGGTCGTCACGTCCTACAATTAGAACGAGCTGGACGTACTACGAACTACCTACTACGAACTTAACCGTCGTACTTCAATCCTACTAGGGACGTTTTTACAACGAGTTGAACTGTCTGAGGACGTATTGAAAACGAGGTAGAACTGATTGCAAACGGGTTTAAACTGATTAAAAACGTATAAAAATATAGCTATCACACCACCAAACAAGTTGCCACTGCGTTCTTCAAAACTGGTTTTAAACTGTGTGCGAACGGAATGAACGTAGCTGCAACTTTCTAAGGACTGTTTACGAACTTCATGAACGTTCTCAGACGGGAAGTACTCTTCTGTAATCAGGTCATGATGACCTTCTAGACTAAGGGGACGCGTTATACGACTTTGCACGCCGACGTGGTGCGACCTGAACGAACTGCGAATGAGATGGACGTATTGACGGCTGTTTATGAACGAAGTAGCTAATTATTTTAGACATATTTCCCGACCATAGCCAGATTGAGCCCGTTTTACGACGTTTTCGTAGGACTGGCAAGAACGGGTAAGAACTAGTTTGGTGTGAAAGGGGGGTAAGCGCATCCCTAGTAGAGTCGAAGTACGGCAATTACGTTCCTAGTCTAGTAGGTCATCTCGTTTGAACTACGTTGTCACACGATTTAATTACAGAACGGTATGGCCGCCGTCGAATTTTGAAATGGTTCAAAATTCTAAATTACCTTCCCGTCCGAGCACGTCCAAGTTCTTGCTTATAGGCAGTCTTTATCCCGTCGACACAACGAATCCAAGCAGGATCTCAACACTTCAGTAGTAGGATTGAGGACATTTCAAGAAGTGTGTGAAATGGATTAAAAATACATTAAAATGTTACAATTTGATAACTTGTAAATACCTTTCGAACAAGACTTCTCAAATAGGGTACATAATAATAATTGCCCAGACGAATGTACGGATAGACTGGTGGAGGCATTCTCTATATCCCCTGAACTCCGTTCATCAATATGCACACAGGATGTCACATTTGTTTAATAACGGTAGTGTTGAAAACAATATGAAGAATACATGATTTTATGCCCATTAGATATATTTGATTATTCAACTTATAAAATTAAAATTTATTTCGAAAATTTACCTGAAAATGACTAATCTTGTCAAAATTCTTTAAATATTTGCTGATGCTTTACAAAGGTGACAGGTCATCTCAACCCCAAGTCATCTCAACCCAGTCCAACTCAACCCCAAGTCAACTCAACCCTGTAAAACTCAACCCCAAGTCAACTCAACCCTGTAAAACTCAACCCCAGTAAAACTCAACCCTATTCATTTGTGCAATGTCTAATTTAATTTCTTATGAAGAATAATTTAAGTCATTAATTTCTGAAAATCTAGCATTTTGCATGATACTTTGAATAGAAAGTTGTAAAAGTATTTAAAAAAACGGTTAAGCTCAAGGATAATTCATCAAGTTGTCACTATTATTGAATTTAAGACATATTTTGAAATCAAATTTTAGATAATTTAGAAATAATTAACAATGTAATATAAATTTTTATTTATATGAACATGCTTTAGCAAAATCATTAACATTTAGTAATTAATAGACTGAAAGCATAGACGTAGCCAGGAGGAGTTCGCACACACCCTCCCCCCAATTTTGAAGGAAGTTGCATCATTTTTTGTCAAAACATATCTTTTTTGGCTCTCTTATGCCACGATCGGCACCCCCTGACTGAAAACCAAATTTTTTGGGCGATCGCATCCCTCCTGACTGAAAGCTGGCTATGCCCCTGGAAAGCAATGGTCATGTTCCGGTTTTCCTACCCTTTGCATTCGTTTGACTTCACTTCGTCTTCGTAGTTTAACTAGACTCTGCACGCAGGGTACGGTTTTCCAAATAATCAAGAGTGTCAACCTCATAGGGATTACAACAAAACAAACGTATTAGCAAGATTAATAAAATGACCCATATTTTAATCCTATTAGTACACTGTACCATGTTGACATTTTGGAGATAAACTCATTATTAACTATCATCCAAAAAGGCAGTGGTCTAAGAATGAAAATCACAAACTGAATCATTCGAATTATTTTTATTAAATAAACTTTCTTATAAGTTTATCAATATATAGAAATATAGGGGTTGAGTTTTACTGGGGTTGAGTTTTACAGGGTTGAGTTGACTTGGGGTTGAGTTTTACTGGGGTTGAGTTGACTTGGGGTTGAGTTGACTTGGGGTTGAGTTTTACTGGTCTGAGTTGACTTGGGGTTGAGATGACCAGGAAGCTTTACAAACACACACAGAGTTTATTTTGAACGTATCCGCATCAAAAGAATGACTCACATTCTAGTTAGATGGCCTTGATACATCTAGGAGTATAATGTGGTTTCAGACGCATATATCTTATTTCAAGTTATTTGCTAACCTTGATGTTGTTTGTTTATTATGTGACGAAACTTTATAAACATATGAGGCTTTTAATTTGGAAGAAACTTTATCAAAATGGCAGATAAACCAGAAGACCCTTGTGATAATAAACAGGTGCCAGAGGTAAATATGATTTTATAGAGTGCCGATTCTTGTCAGGTGGTGGAGTGAAACGGATCATTTGAACTGCGCTTGATCATTGGTTTTGGGTTGTTTGGGTTTGTTTATTACAACAAATTATATTTCAATGTTCCATCTATTTGTTAATGAAAACAACGATTGATATCCTGTGCGAAGGGCTGGTGTGAAAATGTCAGTCCATCCCAGCGGGGATCGAACCCACAACACCTCGCCCTTTATTGCTTTGTTTTCCCCTTTGACTGATGTGTTAAGATCTTCAAAATGAAAGCAGATCTATACAACATTAAGTTTCAGTTTATTTGCACATTTTTAGATCAGACAAATACCTACACTATGTCTCAGGAAAATAATTACGATCCTCTTTGCCTGGGATTGGGACAAAGATGGCTATGCTGGGTATGATGATATAATGAATACAGCAGACAGGTTTATCCACGTTGGTAAGTAGCTATAGCTGTAATTATGTTATACTACAGAATACCACAAAAATAAAGGCTTTTACCCCCCTAACACCAAACTAATCCTTACCCGTTCTTTTTTTTTTTTATAAATAAATCTTTATTTTCACATATTATTTTTTACAGGTTATTAATGTTATTTACTGTAGGAGAGAGAGAGAGAAATCTTCCTTTCTTACCCGTTCTTGCCAGTCCTACGAAAACGTCGTAAAACGGGCTCAATCTGGCTGTGGTCGGGAAATATGTCTGAAATAATTAGCTTCTTCGTTCATAAACAGTCTTCAATACGTCCATCTCGTTCGCAGTTCGTTCAGGTCGCACCACGTCGGTGTGCAACGTCGTAGAACGCGTCCCTTAGTCTAGAAGGTCAACATGACCTGATTACAGAACGGTATGGTCGCCATCGAATTTTGAATCGATTCAAAATTCTAAAATCACATTCCCGTCTGAGAACATTCATAAAGTTCGTAAATAGACCTTAGAAAGTTGCAGCTACGTTCATTCCGTTCGCACACAGTTTAAAACCAGTTTTTTTTTTGAAGAACGCAGTGGCAACTTGTTTGGTGTGATAGCTATATTTTTGCTAACTCGTTCATAAGCAGTGTTAAATACGTTCTTAATCCGTTTAAACCCGTTTGCAATTAGTTCTACCTCGTTCTCAACACGTCCTCAGACGGTTCAACTCGTTGTTAAAATGTCCCTAGTAGGATTGAAGTACGACTGTTCCGTTCGTAGTACGTCCAGCTCGTCGTTAGTACGTTGTCACTCGTTCTAATTGTAGAACGTGACGACCACGAGAACATTTTGAGCATTATGTAAGTTCTAGAGGACCTACGCGTTCGAGTACGTTCGATGAAGTTTGTAAATAGATCCCAAACGGTTCTTAGTAGGTCCAGTCCGTCCGTACACAGTTGAAACCCGTTTTCGAGAACGTAGTGAGAACTAGTTTGGTGTGATAGTAGGGTTAAATAAATTGAAATAAATTAATCAATAGAATAGAATATAACGGAACGGAACGGAATAGGGGTCTGAACACATGTGCTCTTATCTGTTAACTGAATTACCTCCTCTAAAGGCTTTATAATAGGAGGCACAAGAGTATAATAGGAGGCACAAGAGAAGATCCCTTGACCAGCCCCCACTAAAATTCTTAATTTATTATTTTCTTTGTTTTCAAAGACTGACTCAGAAGTCAATTTTGATGTTGGACACATATGTTTTTTATTTAATTTAAGAAAAATATAAGGATAACTTGACAGAAATGCCACCAAATGCAAGTATGACTCAATGGGCGTCTTATTTCTTCGCCCAAATGAGCTCAAACACCAACTCAAACCAGTCAATTTTCATTTAAGGTGATATGAATGAGAAATCTGCTGATAATGTAATAGAGTTCTTCAGAGATTTAACAAAGCGTACAAGTTATAACCCTGTGGTAGAAATTGTCAATGTAACATCTTTGTCCGAGCAGATAGAAGGCCTTTGGAGAGCCAAGAGTAATCCAGCTGCACTGAAGTCGTTGGGTCAAATATATATTCACATGTTTCAGGTAAAACAAAAAAGTAGAAATTAGTTATATGACACGAATCGGATCCATGATGCTTAAGTGAAATACGCCTGCTTCATTTCAATACACAAACAAATGTAACTAAATGGGAGGACACGCATCATAACACTCAACTTTGGGGATTCAGAATATTGATCAAGAGAATTTTAAATGGCTTTTCCATATTAAAAAAGGCTGAATGTCAAATCATATATAGGCTATAAATTGTAATTAGCTTAGAAAGGGAGTGCAAAATCCCAAATAGTATTGCCAAGAGAACATTTCATTTTGAATGCTTTACTCACTAAAAAAGTAAGGGTATCACATAAACCATCATTGTGTAGCACCACAAAATCTTCACAATTGAGTTTACTCGAAGAGAAAGGAAAAAATGGTTAACATCCTTTTCATTACCTTTGTAGATTATTGATGTCAATGCCAAGGGATTTCTTACATTCGACGAGTATTTGGTGTTTTGGAACGCATTCGATCTGGATAAGAGATTCGCAAGGATGCAGTTTGACTTCATTGATACTAACCAAGATGGAAAAATAAGTGAAGAGGAGTTCGTGAAAGCTCACGAAGATTACCTTGTGAACACAAACGATGATACGCTTAATCGATTCTACGGACCACTCATTAACTATTGAGATAGACCGTAGGCTTTAAATCCTAAAATATTTTTGAAAATTATCGCGACATAATTTTTATTGAACTTTCATTTGATTAACCACTTTTGAACGTCCGTACAAATTAGTTTCAAAGAATGCTTTTAAATGATAGGCCTTTATGATATTTAATGGTTTTTAAATCATGGTCCTAGACTTGACAAAAATTGCAAAGCGAAACCCGGAATTTCCAAAAGTATGATTGACAATTTTAAGCTATAAAATATGGCATTAGATCAAAAATATTTCAAACAACACACTGTCGTATCTCTCACAAATACGTTAAATAATTTTGATCACAGTTTTCTATGTGAAAACCATATCATTTTCTAAATTAACATTATAAATATTGGTTTTCATAAAAACATATTCTATTGCAATTTTTATAAGACATGTACCCTATGGTAGGAGAAGTTCTGCTCAAAAGCTATTTGGCGCCAAATAAAATACAAATAATCCCAGACCAATGGTGCTTAAATAATTACCCAGACTGACGGACAAAGGTATTTTCTCCTGAACCTCATTTATCAAATAACTGCAATGTCTAAAAACATTATGAAGATATATAGCATGGTTGTTTCATTGAATATATTCTCCTTGAACGAAATAAACAAAATAAATGTCATTATAATTTAAAATGGTATTTGAAAAATGAATCTGTATTTGAAGAATGACACACCGTGTCAAAATGCTTTAAATAATATTTGATGCTTTGCGAACAAATACAAAGCTTATTGTGAACGTATAAAAAGAAAAGTCATGTAATTTCTAAAGAAAAGTATGAGTATTTACTTTTTATCTAACCTAAAAAAAGTAGTTAAAAGTAGTCATGCGGTTGCCAGTTTAGCAGGCAATGGGACTGACTTCAATTCTCCGGCATGTTTCTTGATACTTGGTATAAATATGATCTACCATAAATAAAACACAAGGTGCTCATCGCCTTGTGTTTTATTTATGGTAGATGGTAGTATAACTAATAAGTTTTGTATTAGTCGGCCACTTTTGATTTTAAGGTACGATATTGCTCACCGTAGCCCCTGTTAAATATAATTTAGGAATCACAATGCCCACCACCATATTTAAACAATGGGCATGCTTATGGGTTGTCTCTCAAGTCAATTTTTTCTCTCTGACTTAATGGTGCAAATAAATACATTCTACATAGACTCAGTTTAATATAGGAGACTTCTGGCCAACCTTTGGTTTCACCTTTGTGCCATATACAACATAGTTGTACGCCTGCCTGAGATCCTGTACAAGTTTAGGGAGGTCTAGGAGAATAAGGGTCGATATGAAAATGATGGGTGGGACACATACAGGAATTCCCACTGCAGCAGCATATTTTGCTTCAGTTGGTTCAAGCTCAATTCTCTTAGCAGCCACATATTCATTAGCATTTTCATCCTCTTCTACTTTAAGAAAAATCTCCAAAGGTGTTGTTTTTGTTGTTTTGGTGAAACCAGTACTGGGTGTATCAGTTTCTGTACTTGTTGGACTGGTTTCAGTAGTTGTCGGGATGATTCCATATGTAGTCGCTGGAATTGTTCCAGAAATTATAAGGGTTGTTTCATTTGTTCTTAAGGCAGATTCAGTAGTTTCTGGTGCAGTTTTAGTAGTTTCAGTAGTTCCTGGGGCAATTTCAGTCGATCTTGGGACAGATTCAGTAGTTATCAGGGCAGTTTCACTCGTTTCTTGTGCAGAGTCAGTTGTTGCTGCCGCAGTTTCAATAGTGTTAGCGGCAGTTTCAGTAGCAGCTGGTGCAGTTTCAGTGGCTTCGGCAGGTTCATCAGTAGTTGTGGTAGTTTCATCAGTTGGTTTGGTAGTTTCACCAGTTGTGGTGGTAGTATCATCAATTTCAATGACGGGTGAAATAGTTTGAAATGCCACTACAATTAAAATGAGCATCGAACCAAAATATATTTCAAGATATATTAAGCTGTTCATGATGGAATGATCCAAAAGTGATCCAAATGTGTACTGTTATATTTTGTACTGGTTCTACATACAGAATGTATTTATTAATTGGGGTATCATGACCATGGTAATAAATACTATTGAATGTTTTTCGAAATGCTTTTCGTTACCTTCTTTTGAATATATCTCCACATTGCAAATCATCCAACCTGGAAATCTACCCTCTATTTCTAAAGCCACCAAATTCCCAAACACTGAATCTCCACAGTCATAGAGAACAGGCATAGAATGTGTCACAGTTGCGTTTGTACTGCAGGTCTTGGTTTCAGCCTCCGTATCATTAGTAGAGACCTTTATGTTTACCAATTTAGCCTTGTTAGTTGCTATAGTAGATGAAACATCTGAAATAAGGTATTGGTATAATGTCTACTTCATTATGATTTTTTATGATACTTCTAAAATGTCTCAGTATCAAAGAGCTATACAGAGTGCCACACCAAACTAGAGTCGTAAATCCATTCTCAGATTTTCATAGATCAATGTTGTTTTTTCATATTTAGTTTAAAACCATTCTAGTTCATAAACTAGCTACTGAACAATTTCCTGATGAATACTTAATTTTATGGTTTTAGTAATTAGTAGGTTTTGAATTAAAATAGATACAGATAAACATTTAAGGTGCATCCGCCTAAGCCTAAGCCTAAGCCAGAATCCGTAAAGGAAAGAAGCAGCCTTGCGCTCGGAGGATGCTAAAGTTGTTTTAGATTTAAGTATGATTTGGTACGGCAATGACACTGTGAATGAGGTAGTGACACATTGCCAGTACTTGTACTATTGAACTCTTGGCGGAGAAAGCTGAATTGACAGGCAAAAAGACAGACATATGAGGTGTGTCAAGTGACAAGACCCTTATCTCTAACCATACTTACTAAAGTAAAGTATTAGTTCATCAATTTGAGAATAGGCTCCCATGTCAAATTCTATCACCTCCATGGTTGAGACACAAGTTTCATATGGAAACAAATCCATCACTTCCGATGATGAGTTCATTGTTGATGATAAATTCCGAGAGTTTGCATTTATCTTTCCTAGAAACGCAAGATGTGAATGATCGTAACAGCTTATTACTATAAATTCGCGAAATTGTTTGAAAACTAAGAGAACATTATATTAGTTCAACTGGTTGAAAGCCACTATAAACCATTTGGCTTAAATTGTAGCCTCGCCCAATGTTACTAAAATGTGCTAGTACGGTTTTTTGATTCCAAAAAATGTTTTTGGAAGAACCTTTGTTCGAACAACTGTGAATTTAAAATAAAATTTGATTGCCATATGGCAATTAATAAGCAACGCTTCAAAAATGTACACCACACATCCTAATCTATTTTCTTCTTTTATTAAATCTCTTTCTCTATTACTGATACTGATGATACTCACTTATGCACTGGTATGTGACCACTGCTGTTACACTGTGACTCATGTCACAAGTATCCGGTCTGAGTTCCGTGTAATCATGATACGCTATCATACACTCATTATGTTCATCACACATTTCCTTGATTAAATTTTGGGTTTTCACTAGCTGGATAGCGCACGAGGGGTCGTATAGGAATTCACACATGCGGTTGATACCATTGCTGCTGTTGCTCTGGCCTACTTCTACAGTGTGCACTACTAGCACGTCACCTCTTGCACATGATAACTTGATGCTATTGTCTCCATTTTCGCAGCCAGTTCGCCTTTGTCGTTGAACTGAAAATATTACGATTAATTTTGATGTAGACTGAATAATAACTGTAGAACATGAAAACTGTGTAATTGAACACAATAGAACTAGATCCACAGGGTGTCAAAAACTGCATAACGTTTTACAATAATTTTATAGCACACGCTGAACACTTTGAAGGTGAAAATTCATATTTATCATTTGAAGCACAAATTTAGCTGTGCATTACTTCAACAATGTAATGAATACAATGAAGTTATCAGATCTTCAAAGCACTTCCTTGCACAAAGGCTTCATCATGAAATTCAACCACAAAGTTAAATGTATCATGTTCACTACCATTTTTATATGTCACCGTGTCAAAGCAGCTTGTGTCTTGCAGGCGGATTGAATACAGGGTTACGTCACCAGTAACTGACACAACAAATTCCCGAGTGGTTTCATTCATTGAAGCAAATATTTCCTCTTCAGTTACACTGCTGAAAACTTGAACTCCATTTACAAAATATACAACCACATCTTTGACTTTTGTCATGACTATTTGGAGTAAGTTTGAGTCCTTCAAGAATTCCATATCTAATGTTATCGATTGATAAACTGTTTCATTCTTTAGATTGAAGAATGCAATAAACTTGATATTCTCATTTGAGTTATTGGTGATCGTCAATCCAAAGGTATTTGATACCTCAATGATAACATGTTTGTCTGTTTCATTTTGTTGTGTTGTATTTGTTGTATTTGATATGATATCTATCCAAGTTTCTATGCAGAATGTGAGCTCGAGTTGACCGGAAAGTATTTGATCTTGTATATTGAGAACACCACTTGGCATTGTATTGAGTCCAACATATCTCCCCTGTCGTTGAATAGTTGCATTCCCTACAAAAGAAAAACACAAGCAAAATTTATTTGTTAAAGAGCTATTTCACATAAATACAAATAGATAATTAATATAATATGCATCATTAATTCAAACAATATAACAAATACAATCCAAAAAACATTCATACTTGGTCTTCATAATTGACTGGCCATAGTTAAGAAAAGTTAAATATTTATAATTAGAATAATTCTAACAATACCTTGTAGGATATCAACAGGGCCTAGTGACAGTGTGTTGAAATTGTATACAAGGGTTGTATCGGGAGTCTTCTCAAAATCACAACAGCCTAAGGATGAACATTATAAGTATGTTAGGAAATTATGGTTAAAAGATGGGATATAGTACATAGCCGTTCGTCCGTCCGTTTGATTAATAAAGCTCTCACAATTGTCGCATAACATAAAGATGTAATGCGTATTAGAATGGATTTTTCTAACAAAGCTATGAATCAAACATCAATCTAAATTCAGAGCATATTTGAATTTAAGCGATGGAAACTTTCCACACTCGGGAGCAGTGATGTAATTGACCTCAGAAAAGATATACAAGACATAAGATCATGCTATTATGTAAAGCATATATTGAATGGTATCTCTATCGTTTATTTCCACAGGCTATTATTAGGGATAAGGACGGGTCACACATATAAGGACGGGTCACACTTATTATTATTACCTCGACATATAAGGTCATCACCAACCCATTCACCAGCGTCAGAGGAATTGTATGCAATACATTTTTTCACAAAATCCCCCGAGTAGTAATGGTTCCCTGGTAGGCATTCATTTTGTACTATTGCCCCATTGTACAATCCATCCAGCTGAGATATCCTTGTGTGCCCAATAGGAGGGTCTGGTAACATTGGGCACTGGGCGACTAGAATAATATGGTAAAAATGTAAATGCCACATTTGATTGGCATTTAGTCAGTAAGGCATTGTTGCAATCACAGTCTGGATCTCTTGAAGAAAGCGGTTGATGTGGTACCTGAGTCTTTTAGTATGACTAAACTGCATAAAATGCTACCTTTGAGATTATCTACCAATTCTGAAAATGTTCACAATGAAGTGATTTTGGCGACACATTTGCACCGCTATTAAAATATAAATACTAATCGTTTTTATATCATTTGCTGCCAAATGACCTACCGAATATGACTGATCCTTTATTACTTTCACGTTTGTTACCTGTTTTAGGGCATCCAATAACATCGAACCTCATGGCTATACGTTTGTACCACGTTTGAGGATTAATGCGAACAAATCTGGCCAGCACATGTGGATCTATCATGTTAGTAACATGTGTATTTCGGTCATTATTCCCTTGTAGAATCTAAAAAACAAAAATTTTGTTATTATAAATAATTGCTTTTTATAAATGATCACAGATTTCATTTTTTCCAATTTAGTTCACTGTATTCGTGAAGGTACAAAGACCAAAGACAGCAAGGAATACTAACTTATAAACGTGAATAGTAAAAAGAATTTCAATATTTTACCTTCCGATACTCCTCCAAAGTCTCTACCGTTTTACCATAAAGAAACTTGTACGATATAACCCAGTGGTCGACTTTTTCTTCTCCTTGAGTGACCACCCCTGTCACAAACATAATTTCACCCAGTGCTGCTTGTATCCATTGGCCTTTGTCGTCGTTTTCTGGAGCCCATCCTCCTGCCATGCTTCCTCTAGAATAAAACATAATCATGCTGCCGTTCTGGTTGTTGGCTTTTTCAAAATTTCATGTTTTACCAAGGAGGATTGGCTCCCGGGGAAGCAAAAAATTGTTATTTTCTGACACTTCAACTGACTTTAAACCCCACTTAGGAAGCTGCACAATTGAATGAACTGTAATTTATTTTAATATGCAGCCGTAACAAAGAAGAGTACATTCCTTTTCTATTGTTTTTAAATAATTGACACTTAGCTAGCAATCCAAAACCAGTGTGGCTCAAAGGACATCATTGATTGTCACATCCAGTGCACCAAAGCTGAACTAATACACTCACTCACTCAACACACTTACCTCTTAGTCAACACATATGAAATAAAATTTTCCTAGAATTTGAGCATGGGCCATTTACCTTCCACAAGAGTCAGTTTTGGGTTTAAGTTACATAGACCATTCGTACTCGGTCTATGAAAAACTAATGGCCTCAGGCCAAGGTCCTCGGCTATTATTTCTCATAAAACCCAGTACTCATAGTTTATAACATAGTTTACTCATAGTTCATAACAGTCCAAAAGATTTGAACCAATATCTTGATTACTTGTGTTTGGAATTTTGTTTGGAAATAAAATAAGGTCCCGCTGGACTTGATCGGGGAGGGGTGCGATCGCCCCCACCGCACCCCCCCCCCCCCTGGCTACGCCCATGGTATTTGTGTTATCATGAACTTGTCAAACTTGTGTCATATAGCAAATTGCTATGTGAAAATACCTATGATAAATATACGTACGTATCTGGCGTGTCTAATCTAGATCTGCTTGTGCCGAAAAATACGTGACCCTCTTTAAACGATGATGCGGTAAGCCTTTTATCATCAACATGGTATATCGCCAGATATCAGTCGTTCTGGCGTATCAACTGGGCAGGTAGCTAACATAAGAAAACAAAAATGAGATGCTATCCGCAAATATATATCAACACCTTTATATTGTAATGACGAAATGTAGAATTAAAGCTAATATTTTAACATTACTGACCCCCCCCCCCCCCCCCCTCTGTAAAAATGTTATATTTATAATAATCCAGAAAGGCCTTGTCAACGAGGCAATGCGAAGGAGCTAACGGTACAGGACTTTTGTATCAACCCCTCTATAGATAAAAATCTAATAGTTTCTAGATAATAGTTTATAAAACCTCGCTCCTTCATATACTATATAGATAATTAGTTAAGCTTTTTCATTTTTTCTGTTTAAGCTGTACACTTTGCCCAAATGTGGGATACAAGTATAATAAAGCTCATAATAATCATAATCATATACTCCCACTCCTGGGGATAGATCGGGAGGTGGGGGGGGGGGGGGGCGGTGGGTTACGGACTATTGAGCATCATGATATACGTAATATTGTCAGAAATACCTGTCGTATAAACTTCTACATAGCATAGAGCTAGTTGAGTAGGATTGTCGCCCATCATTTGGATCTTAACTGATCCTCCATGTAGAGGATTATCACACGTTACCTTGTGAGGAGTCGTTATCTCACCATTGTATATCGTACATAACTTTTTGTCAATGTAAATAGCAAAATTCCTCAGAGGATATTCTATAAAGCAAAAATATTGTCCCATCATTTTCGAATTTGATACAAGTTTATATAGGTCAAACAATTATATTCCTTGAACACTTGAATGGGAAATACGAAAATATTAACATTGGGCTTAACAATAATTACATGTAACATTTCCTGATTATCAACATTTATAGATCATTTCTCGTGTAAAGCGACTAGTAGGAGATTAAAAAATAATACAAAGAGAGTCTAATCATGTATGCATCCAAATAAGAGATAGGTGCAGACATGATTTACCATTTAACGCTTGCGTCTAGAAAAATTACTATAGGACACATCGGTTTCATACCTTTTGTAGGGGTTATCACCAATTTCATTATCCGAACATCTTCTCCAATGAACACTATCCAGTAAGGATTAATTTCATTTGAAGTTAAGCTGATTGAGCAGCTATCCTTGTAGCTATCTAACCCCAAAAGAAGCGCATTTTGAGATGATTTCTTTATCCATGTTTCTGAGGATTGGTACACCTGTTTACCAATAGCAGCGTTATCTAAATGAAAATGAAAGATGCTTGTGGTATTTAATTTTATCAGTAGCTTTACTGTTAGCTTACAGTACCCTTTCCCGTTTTTTTTATTTTACTACGCACGTATTAATCGTTTTAACATAAATGACAATAACCCCAAAACTCATACAAACAGTTATTTTAGTTCTATCATTTCTGTATACTATAACAAGAGTCCTTTCCAATAAGCCCTCTCACCTTTTGGTATATCATAGAAACGATGATATATTAGCTATAGATTCATGATGTCATTAAGGTTGTAGGTAACTACAAAAGTACAACCAATGACATCATCAATATAGCAAATATATCATAGTTTCTATGATATAACAAAAGGATTCCTTGATTACCAAAACAAAAGGAAAACGTAACCGGACGCAATTAAGTAAGTGATACACATGTTACTCTCTAACCTGTATGTATCTCATAAACGTCAACACTTTTATTTCCAATACCACTGCAGTACGTTAATTGAGTACTATTATCTATCCAAACGTTATTATTATTTGCTTCGACGTAGCAGTGTCGTTCTTTTAATCCAAATATTGTTTTGCCGTCATCCAAAGCTTTCAAATAGCATTTGTATATCGGGTCTTCTATTTGACCTGAATCACCTTGATCGTCATTGTCAGTAAGTTGGACGATATTTGGATTGGTGGACAAGGGAAAGTCATTGCAACCTTTATGTGTGTAGAGTGGATTGAATTCTTCATCTAAAATAAAAAATAACACAGATATCTCTTGATCCAATGTGCAGTCTTGCTTCACGACTGTGGACCTCCTATCTAACCAGTTGTTAGAGTAGATAGTCCAGGATATTGAAGCAAGACTATCAAATGTGTTGCTTGTTCATATAAAAGTATATATGTTTATCTTCAGAAATCACAGCATTACTATCTGAGCGCATCTTCGCACATTCACTCTTCCCTGCGTCAGACAGACGGGACCTGAGTGAACGAAGATGACCCGAGCGACACCTATATATGTGAATATCGGAGAGCTCACATCAATGATAAAGTACTAAATTACGAGCAAATGAAAATTGTTTTGAAGTAAATAATAGTTTTGGTCAAATTAGCCTATCCTTACTTGGGTTGGCATAAAATATCCTAATAGAGTAAGATTTATTTTTGTTTCGGATAACATGGTAATTGTTGGCTCTAGTACCAAGCTCCACTTCAGCTGTGTTGTAGTATTTATCAGTTGTTGGTATTTCGCCATCATCTATGATGTCGTGGTGAATGCCTATGTTGGATGCAGAGGCATCAGATTCAGATGACATAATTCCAAGCACGTCTCCCTTCTCGACCTGTTAAATTATAAAATTATTTTAATCGGAAGTAATACTACAACGGGAGTTGTTTAATGTTCCTATGTTAAAGCAATATGAGTTGTCGATAATGGACCGGTGTAAGAGAAATTATGGTCCCCTGGGGATTATGGTCCCCTTTCTTAAAGGCCCTTACTGGCCCTGATTGTGTATAAGATAATAAGTGAAAGAGTTGTATTTAGGTCACCATATAAATCAATGGAAAGTAGGACCATAATTTGATAGGACCTCCTACCCTTTGACACCTGTACGGCACAAGGGTTCGACTAGTATGATGTCATGGGCCTGTATAGAGGTCGGATAGAGGTCCAATGATATAAAATCAAATATAATATGATTGAATTTAGTTCACCAATGGGTAAGCCAAAGTTGCATACTTTTCATGCAAAGTACATGTAAGTACTGAAATATTTATAGAGGAATATTACTAGCCGCTGGTCGCAGAAAAGATAGACACTACAATATTTGCAATACTACAATATTTGCAGGAGTGGTTTAATTATCCAACGGGCCTTAAATTTAATATAGATAATTTTACAAGTAGTTAGTTCAAATCAAATACTTTGGCATCAAAAAGTGATGCAATTGAGCTAGTCTTTTATCCATTCTTAATTCCAATAGAATAAAAATGTCGATTTCTTAAAATGTGTAACCCTCGTCGATTGGAAATTCAATATTAAGATAATTAGTGAACAATTCTTTTACATAATAAATAGCATGACAAGATTGAAGCATGTTATCAATTGCCCATTCTGATTTGTCAGATCCCCTTTCCGGGCTCTTTCAGAGGCCCTTACGCTTGATAGGAACAGTCTGTCAATTACCTCTACTGAAGAAAGAAAATGCTTGGTTTGTCATTCACACATAATGTGTCCGATTCCAGCCAATCCGAAGACGCTATTTCACATAATTGCATTCCATTATATAACCAATAACCAACTCAAGGTCACAGGTTGAACTGAACTTTTCAGATTGAAATTGATACTTCAAAAAATTGAAAATAGTGATTTCGTATCTTTATGATTTTGTAGAAAATATTTTGCAATGTGTGAAAAGAATTTCACAATGCATCGAGTAATGACCATTCCTTTCAGGCGTTGTTTCTTAAAAACGCAACACCTTCAAGGAATGGTCATTTCACATTGCTCCGAGTCCAGGGCTTAAATCTGTGATAATAAGACGCACGGAGGACCATTTCTTATTTCATTGCAATAAATTTAAAAGTATACAGTTCAAATAAAGAAAATACTAATAAACTTGTTAAATCACTCAATAATCGATATCACTACTGGTCAGATATATTTTCGAAATAAATATATATATAACTTTTAAAGGAAGACAAAAAAATAAAATATAGTAACAAGTGAAATTTTGCAGTGATCAAACGTCATTACACAGTTTTAATTAATGCAGTTATACGTCAATTGTCAATCTTGAGTGTATGTTTATGATTCATAATTAATTTTTATTTGTTTGCCAACAATGTTGTACGTCGTACAACTTGCGCAAATGTGGAATATAGAACAATAAAAATTATATGATCTAAATAACAGGCTCCGGGTTAGAATGTTTTAATATAGAAAATTAGACAATGTAATTAGTAATTTAGTATTGAATGCGGAAACATTTAACTATAGTTAATACCTGTAAAACACGATATATTTGATGCATTTCTTGGGTTTGCGTGAAAGCAAAGATTGATCGACCAATCACCCATACAAGGTTAAAAATGATTTGGATGGGGTATTAGATCTTGATAGTGGGGCTAACTTCATCCCTTGAATAGATTAAACATGTATCCTGAGCCACTATGCCAATTACAGTAGCTGCCAGGGCCTTTTAATTTTAATAACTTATATGGTGTTGTCTTGCATTTCTGATACTCTTCACATTTTTCTACCTCCAACTAAAAACATGCCCATGGCCTAAGCTAATAGAAGGTCACGATCGAAATGTGAAAGAAAAAGAAAAGAAAAATAGTGTTTTCTCTTCAATAACGAACAATTAGAGGCGACCTATCCATTCAATTGACCTTGGTTGTATCTGGATACATAGACAGTTAACCTCGGAAGAGGTGAATAGTTGTGGGCATCTATTTATAAGCTCTGATTAGCAGCGTGGATCATCAAAACTCACCGTAATATTCAGAGTATGGCGATGATATCCAGGTTCATCGCTTGGAATTACAGAGCTGAAGTTGTTCAATGAATACGTCGAGGCCTCTCCGTCGTCTAGGATTTGTTCTTGGAAAATGCCTATTTTGAAGGGGATCCCCATGGAATCATAAAAGTCAACTCCCACCAGTTTCCCACGACAGGGAAACACAAAGTCTGTTAGGATGTCTACGGAAATTGGTGCTCCATTGCTTGTCGGTTCAATAATGTAGCCACTTGATTTTGGGCAAACTGAAAATATTCTTTACATTTCAATCTAACCCCCCTATCACACCAAACTAGTTCTCTTACGTTCTTTCCAGTTCTACAAACGGACTAAATCTAGCTGAGTGGTTGGGAAGTATGTCTAAAATAATTAAATGCTTTGTTCATAAACAGTCTTCAATACGTCCATCTCGTTCGCAGTTCGTTCAGGTCGCACCATGTCGGTGTGTACACGTACTGCAACTGATATCCGATTGCACAACGTTAACGCGTCGATCCCTATTAGGGTCGAAGTACGGCAATTACTTTCACAGTAGGTCATCTCGTTTGCATTGTCACTCGATCTAATTACAGAACGGTATGGTCGCCGCCATCGGATTTGAAATCTTTCAAGTCGAGCACGTCCATGAAGTTCATAAATTTCGAGAACGTTTATAGTTTGATGTGAAAGTAGTTGCTTTTTTACCAAAATACCATTACTAACTATAGCTTTAGATTGAAGAATGAAAAATTAAAATCGGATTATGATATAAATTCAAATCAACTGCCAATTGATGTCATATCAAATGTTATGCGTATGTGCAGCTTAAATAATTTATTGACAAAATGAAATTTAGATATAATGTACGTTAAAATGATTTACCTTCTTTTATATCTGTTGAAACAAATGAGATAATAGCTGCCCAAATTACCAGCAGGAAAATCAAAATTTGAGACCTTTTCTCCATTTTACAATTTCAATGTCTTTCACTTTTCTTATGTATGTATACTTCATAATCTCGGCATAATCTATTTTGATTCTGGTCCAATTGATTGACGTGATAAAACTAAATTAAATATTTTTGAGCTGTGCATCGTGACCCGATACTTGGTTTATCGTTGTATTTAATTATCAATAAGTTACATTATATTAAATATAAGGCAAAAGTAGGTCCCTGTATTAAATGTTATAAATTGTTATGAAATATGAAATGTCTGTTAAAAACAGTCTCCATCATCAAAACAGGCTCGTCAGACCCTCTTCTTCAACGGTGGTTTGGTTTTTTACCAAAAAGAATTTTAGGGAGCTGTATTTGTTAGTTAAAATATACCCCGAAATCGCTCCATGTCATATTGAAATCATAAACATTTCGGACTCCACCCAAAAAATGAATTTTTATTTACTCGAACACATTAAAGTGCCAGGAAATAACCAGATAGCATCTTGAACTTGTAAAATTCCCAGAGGAATGAGGCACCCCTCTCCCTCTGCCCCCTCGCTCCCACTAAAAAATCAGAATTTCTATTGGTTGATTTTGTTGATACTGAAAACACTTAAAAGTAGCCAGAATTCACTGAATAGGATCTTGAGCTGGTAAATGATGCCGGTGGCCTCCCCCTCTGAAAGTATTCTAACGATTTTTTCCAAATTCCTCGGGAAACCTTTCGATTCAATTTCAAATGTTGATTTTGAAGGACTTTTTGTTCGAAAAATGTGAACAGAAGAAAATTCAGAGAAACAGCAATTTACAATGGTAAAAATATGATAAAACGTATTTTCAACCAAGATAAGCCAACAGTATTACTTTATTTTGAAAGTTTAGCACATTTAGAAAAACATTATATTTGTAAATAATTAAATCAATTTGTAATGATATAATTTAAAACAAATATGCATAAAATCATAGATTGAATGTTTGAAATAATATAACAGTTGCCTGATTTATTCAATGGAGTAAAGAAAATAGTTATACAGTGCGTATCAAAAGAAACGCATCAGATCTCGGAAGAGCACAAAACCAGTGATAACATCATTGATTTAATCAATGTACCATAAAGCCATGTGTCTCCACTTTCCAATGGAATACCATTCGTTGATATTGGGTCATGGTTTGGCGAGTAATCATTCTTTTTGCAAAGTGGACCAAAATTAGCTTGGGACCAATTTATAAACATTGCGAAAGTCAGTGATAAGTAAAACCGATGACTGCATCAATTTCATTCAATCTACCAAAAAGCCAAATTAGGCTACTTTTCTTTGCAATGGAATGTCATTCATTCACAGGGAGTAATGGCTGGCCGAATAATCATTAAATTCGCAAAGTTCGAGAATGGAGTGAGCGAGAAGAATTAAGCTTGGGACTCTATCATGCTCTTAGGCTTTTTCTAAGAAATTTTACCGATCCAATGTTGGTGATGAGGCTACTGGACATCTTTAAAGTGTAAGACAATAGATAAAACTGAAAAGAAAAACAGGGAACATTTTTTTTCAATTTGTAGGGCCCGTGTAGGGTACCCCCATAAATGTGGGGTCGAATTGGCGTTTTTTCTTATTTTTTAATATTCTAGTGCCAATTCTCCAAGAATGATAAAATATAAGAAAAAACGCCAATTCGACCCCACATTTATGGGGGTAGTGTAGGGGCGGCGGCAAATGTTGGTCCCCTCATACAAATCATTTTTCCATTTCAAGATATTTGATGAGGTCTGGGGACTTTTAACGTGTCCTTGAGACATATAAAATAAATTCAGAATTTATATCCATTCAGGTCGTTATGATTGTTTTTTGAGATGCGAGGTGTGAGGTGTATCCATTCCTCTAGAACATTTTCGCTCTGAGCCGTTACAAAATCATATATAGGGTGGTCCAAAAAAGTGAACCCCTGCAACAGGCTATATTTTCCATAATACATACATACATTTGCTCGTATTATCACATCTTGTAGAGAAAGGTCTAAAATTTTTGTTGACACCATAATTTATTCTCAGTCTTGAATTTCGAAGAAATTACAAGACTTAAACAAACATGCCTCAAATTAGATTTTGTGCAAAATTTTACCAATGTGATTGACGGAAATTGTTGAAACACATTAGATGATCTTAAAAAAGCTTTCACTGAGTGAGAGATTATAAGTTTAAACCATACCATATGACAAATGGGACACTATTTGAGCAGAAAACACATTTCACACTTTTATTGACCATTTTGAAGCTGTTTTAACCATTTAGCAGTTTAGAGACATGTTATCTACATAAACGGGTAGAGGGGGGGGGGGCCAAGTTACCCCTTGTGACCCAAAATCTGAGAAGTCCTTCATAAGATCTTTCAAAAATCAAAAGGAAATCTAATATTCAGTGTTTTGAGCCATCTATTTCATTAGAATTGGTCCATGATAATGAAGATATTGACATTTTAAGACCATATAGGGTTATGTTGCGATTTCACTGGAAGATGTTCACATCTTTGGAAACATTGAACCGATTTCTTTTGATCACAATAACTCCTTGCAACTAACAGAGGTAGGATGCTAATTTTACATCATATTGTGTGTGATTCAAAGCCAAACAAAGTCAGAAAACATAAGGTTCCCCAGACTCCGGGTTAAAAGATTTCAATGGGAAGATTGTTGAAGGGTTGAAGAATCGCAGATATTGAAGTTCACATTTTACCCATTTTCAGTGATGTTTCGTAAAGGCTTATAATTTCTGCAAATTTTAATACTAAGAAAAATGTATCGTACCAACAAAAATTTAGACCTTCCTCTACAACATGTGAAACTATGAAAGAATTCCTGCAGGTAATAAGGGAAATATAGTCAGTTGCAAGGGTTCACTTTTTTTAGGACAACCCTGTAATTTATTTAGCAAGGACGCGTTACAATACCCGGGAATTAATCGGTTCGTGCAGTACATGTTTGTGATCGTGGAATGAATCGTCTTGGGATGAGATGTTTTGGGATAAGATGTCTTAGGAGAAGTTGCCTAATGGATTTATTGTCTTGAGATGAGTTATTTTGGGATGCGTTGTCAACCAGCCGATTCCAGAGTCCGATCAGGGAGTCCGATGATTAATTTCGTTTCATGTTAAGTTGAGAATATAGACACATCCGGGTAAGTGAAAAAATGCAAAATGTTATGTACTCAGTTTTACTACCCTTTTGTCTATAATCCGTGTAAAATTAGAATTATGACAATGTTTTTATCACCAAGAAAATACAAAAGCTGATACATACTAGCAAAAAGGTGAAAGTATTGCTATTTAGGTCAGAAAATTAGAAATAAAATTGTCAGAATTATTTTCATGTAGACCACACTCTATTATCGCCCACAAAGTGTACATTTGAACATTTTTATCAAGACTCTTTACACCATGGCGGTAGCCTACAGGTTTTACATGTGGTCGAATACTAATCAGAACTTTTGCTTACTTCAAAAATGAAAATGATCTTACGATTTAAGCCCATGGACTTATTGTCCATTTCACTTGGGCTGTGCATCAATAAAACCTCAAAAAAAGCAATCAAAAGACTAACAGTACCATACTGTAGACGTCTTTAATTTCGCAGTTTGTATATTTTTGCTTTATTTGCAGGATGCCCTCCATCCGTGAAAAAGGACCTGCAAATTATTAGCTGTAGGATAGTTGTAGATTATATCCTCCAGTCTGATATTTTTTTGAAATTTGGAATGAAAATATTCAGACTATAGCCCACTTATGTTAAAATTTGCGATTGAAAATTATTTGTTGACATAGGAAGTGCCATTCAAAATGGGCGATGGAGTAAATTAATTTGCATATTTGTTACTTCCCCTAGGTTTATTTCCATTTGACAATATGCTGTGTTACTTTTTATAGCATTTAATTGTACTTTACTACTTAATTGAATTGTTAATATGCTTATTTTTTGGAAGTGAAGATTCCTTAAATTAATAATTGTGTGCAGGAAATTTCCTGTTTTTTCCCACAGGAGGGACATAATGATCAATAGACTGAATTCTCAGGAAATTCAGTCTATATTGGATATAGACTAAGGATAGTTGTCTTGGAAAAAAAATTTGTAAAAATTACGAAAAAATTATGATTTTGTTGATTTTCTATAAGTCCGTGGCACTTACCCCTCATATCCATATGTTGCATCATAGTTTGTAGGTGCGTGCATATAAGTATAGCTTCACGAGTCATAATCATAAGATAGTAATGCACACAAAGTTGTTATTTATAGTGAAACACGATCTCAAACATCTTAATTTCACTTCACACATGCGCACTGAACTCACATGTAAAAGTTCAAAATTAACATCAGTCTTAGAACTAACCCTGCAATCAGTGCAATACAGTGCTCAAAATGTATGTGTAATCAACATGCTTATTTGATTGACTGCCAAGCATCTTGTCAGTCCCAGATTCAGATATCAGATTCGTTAACTGCATTTTCGTTCAGTGCACAGAAAACTCCCAAGATGCTTTGCAAATATATGGCAACTTTTCTTAAGTTTATTTATTTTGTTTATACAGAAGTGGAATCAGCGCAAAAATATAAACACGCAAAATTAACGAATTTATAAAAAGTGCAAAAATTTACCCCCGCTTAAATAATGACATCTTAAGTAATTTTGAAATTTTTAATAAGGCAGAGAGTTTGATGTTTTTGTACAAAATAATGATGATTTAAAAACGATTGTAAAGATTTTATGCATCATCACACGACAATTATACTTTACGTAAACATACAAAGTACGAAATATCCTCAAAAGGTCAGACTACTGTAATCAAAGATGAAGAAGTAGAAAAAAGAAGACAATATGCAAAATTTTTGTTAATGTTGAATTGCTTGCAGATGGCGAATAAAATGGATAGCCTCTTGTATTCTTTTCTGACATGTAATTCTGTAATTCTTATGTATTTCATTTAAGAAAAATAAACATGGCTGAAACTTCCTAAATTACAAGAGGTCATGGGTTTATTGCACATAAAACTGAAATATACAAATGTTTTGTCTTTGAAATATTAATGCATTTTCCCTATGATACTATATACGCCATACGATGGTCTTTTGATTGCTAATTTCTCAAGGTTTTATTGATACACAAACAACCCAATATTGAAATGGACTATACATATTGACAATTATGTATATGATCATATCTGCATGTTTTGCTTGCAGGTGGAGAAGCTTACACAAAAGCATTTAACCGATTAATATAAAAGGAGGCCAGTGTGAGATTGATACTAAACTCATGTAGCCTTTGGGACGACTCTTATATGGATATTGAAATTTCATATCATTAGCAGTTATTTCCATAGATTGCATTCTATGATTTTTAACATAACTAAGGGGTATACACGTACCCCACCAAACACCTTTTAAATGAGGGCTGATTGGACATCTCAGGTGTTGAACCAAGATAGACTCGTCCTGCTGTTTGCAAACTATAGCTTCCTATCATGTATCGTTATGATGTTCATAGTCTTCCTTTTCTTCTTGGCTCAGACCAGCACTGATGAAATAGACCTCTTCAGTTTGAACGTGCTTCTGGTCTATACTTTTATGTTTACAAACATTGCTCTCGCAAACTACTTTGTTTATACCATACAAATCCATAAAGAGATTCGAGTGATTTTACAATAGGTCCAGAGAGTTGACCTCTAAAACGTGACAATGGACAATCCATATAATGATCCTGGACCTGGTGGTGTAAAGGAGGAAGTTTTCTTTGATCTGCTTAGCCCTAGTAGTAGCTTTGGTTGCTCCAGTCTCAAAGACCCAAATGGTTTATCAGATAACTGTATCATCAGTGCCATTATTCTTTCGCATTGGGATAACATAATGGGGCCGAGGATTATACATCTCTGGAGTAACACATACAATCAAGAAGCCACCCCTGCTCAGTTAAAGACCCTGCGCTTTGTGGCAAATCATACGCTTAGTGGAGAAATCACCAGAGATCTTAGCGATCGAACAATTGATGATAAATTCTATGTTATTCAAGAAAAGTCAATATCAGTGACATCATTTATATTTGGTGCTAAGTCAACTGTAGGAAAGTGTGTGCATTCACTATCATTAGTGGTGCCTCTAGAACATTTAGAAACCTATCTTAAATGGCATGACCTCTGTGTAATTTGGATGAAAAGGCTGATTAGTAGGCTGAAAGTTCTACAATCTATAGTAAGTTTTCAAGTTCTCAAAAGTTTTAAATTATTTAATGCCCTGAACAGCAAACAACTAGATTGGCATAGAAAAGGAAAATACTTGTAATTGTAAATGATAATTTGTTAAAAAACATATATTTTATCCATTATGTATCATTTATTTAGAAGTGAACTTTGCAATATTTATATATTTTGCATATTCATTTTTGTCATAGTTTTACTATAGGAAGTTAAGAAAACATTTTTTACAGAAAAGGACCAACAGATCAATTTTCCCTGCTCCAACTTTCTGTTTTCAAAGGTAATATGGGGCAGATCAGACAATAATTCTGTTTGAATCTTACTGTGCTCATTTGCTCAATCATATTTGTAAACTTCATCAAAACATTTCCCTCAAAAGCTTAGGAGGCCCTATCCAATACATGGACTGTACTATATCATCTTCTATTCTAGGACCCTGGTAATGGTGCTATAGGAGAGTTTTCAATGCCAAAGAACATCCAAAGCTTTATACAAATGCTAAGATCACTCAGTATGCTAGCTCTGCCATCAACAATAAATGTAAGTAGTGTAAGGGGTTCAGTAGGCGGGTAAATTTCCAAATGGAGTTGAGTTGAAATATTACACAGGGAATGTTTTTAGGTCAATACCATCCCAAATTCTGGTGAAGGTAATTGAACTTCAAAGTTGTCTAATTTGGACCACCCTTTTCAACACCCACCATGATTTTGCATTGACTTTCCTACCAGGCTTTAACACATTATTAAATTTTGAGTTTCGAGATAATTGTTTACTTGAAAAATAAAATGATATATTGAGATTGGCAAATTAAATCTCAGGAGGAAATAGCAATTGAAAAATTGAAAATTGTTCACATCTGCATGCAATAAGAAAATGTTTATTATTGATTGCTTCCGTTCAAATAAGTTTTGCAATAAACAATGTTCAGTTATATTTGCTTTAATTGGAACACAGTCTGGATCTTATCCCCAAGTTCTTTCTGGAATATAAGCTTTGCATTGTATGACATCTTGTATACATGTAACTTGCTGCATGATGACTTGATCCTAACATGCCATATATTGTTGTTCCCTCTCTAGATCTCTACCACCCTGCTCCGCTCAGACCATCCCATTGAGAATGCCTTCCTGCGTAAAGCCATTGCAGCTCATCTAGTAACATGTGGTCACAGTATAGTAGTCGGCAAAATAAAGAGCCAGTTAAACACAGTAAGGAATTTATAAATGTGTCCCAAAGTTCACTCATCCTAGTGCAGAAACACCATTTTGTAAATACTTACTTATTAACATATCGTATAATACAGTGTACATACTAAATTACTTATAAACTGTGTATTGGGTCATGCATAACAGACAAAAATAACATATCTGAAAAACGGCCAATTATTTTTTGGCTTTCAATCCCCAATATTTTCATTTTATACAATATGTTAATTGAACTGAATAGGGGATTCCCCCGAATGTGCATTGCCATAAAACAAGGTTGTGGTTAGATATTTCTATCAGTATCAAACACATAATTTGTACTTTGATGGGACATGACAATAATGGTATCCAGGCTGACAACATAATACAGTTCTGTGGCTGGATCTGTCATGTCCCAAGTACATACGTTAACTGTTTTTTTACTTTGCTTATCCTGCTTCACATCATCAATCTCCTTTACAGGGACAGGGTACATTAAACATGTATTTACCTTTGGGCTCAAATGTCATTTCGTACTTTTTCAGTATTCCACAGACCTACATCAAAAATGTTATTAACTGCATTATGATTAACATAAGTCAGTTTGTAATATAACATCAGCGCCATAATGTACGTTTAGTTGAAAGTATTGATGTTTATTGTATGATCAACATTTCAGCTAGTTAGAACTCTGGCTCTTTTCCTTGGTGCTACGGAACGTCATTGCTCAAGACTTGCCACATCAGACAACCCTAGATTCCCTTACCATTCGGACCTTAGCATACAGGCCATTATCAAGGTAGGTTTTCATCTTGGTTACTTCAACTATACTTTTCTCAGTGATTGGCTATTGTGCTGAAACAATTTCTTGAATCTATTACTAGCTTTGTCAGAATTTCTGAGTCCTAAAATTCTTTACAATTGTATTTGCAAGAGTCTTCACTTGCATTGTTTAATCTCTGTTTTACAAAAACCCTGGGAGGGGAGATCACTGAAATAAAATGACAACCATCAAGTTATGCCATTTCAGGATGATAATGACACAACCAATATCCCCTCTATTGATGTGTTATGCAGTAAATTCCCATCAGCTTTGATTGACATGTCAACCAAAGAAATTCATGTGACACAGCCCTGTCACATCCACAGTGTGCGACGTTATGAAATGATGAAGCAAGATTTGACTTGTCTTTGGGCTGAGCATAGAGAGGATAAGGTCTATCCAACGAGGTCTGTATCATGTTATATTGATTATAAAATACAGTATTCTGAACATTTCCTGCATTGACGCAAGTGGGTGTTTCACCTAATATTGAAAATTCGAAAAACCATCACTCCTGTTGCTGATGGGGTCCCATTGAAAATTTGACTAAATCTCAACCTTTAGCACATGCCCCAGGGTCTAAGAATGAGATGAGATGCTTGTGTGAAAAGTGGTCAGTGAATTTTTAGTTCGGTATTATAGTGGCGCCATCTTTCCTAATTTTCTGACAGAGGGGTGGCTTGACAAAATATTTTTTACATTTCTTTTGTCTAGTCTATGGAATAATGAATCTGTATAAATGTACTTAAATGTCTGTAATATCTTCTGATTTTTTTGACATTTGTTTGTGTGAATAGCAGTTTTGAATAATTAATCCTTTAAACACCAAATCTTGGTTCGTCCGTCTGTCTGCTTGTGTGTCCAGGTGATACCTCAAATACTGGGGGATAGATTTGATTCAAATTTTATAGGCTTATGCCTTATGGGTGTAGGACCTCTGCTTGAGAAGGAATTTTCAGTATGGCCACTCAATTCAAAATGGCCACCATTTGTAAAAAAATGTAATCTTTGATAATACCTCAAATACAAGTCGAAGGATTTGGTTTGAATTTCAATATATGAGCCTGGCCATAGGAAAACTGGTCTTATCACAAAAATTGGAATTGTGCTATAGAGGCAAAAATGTGCCCACGATTTAGAGGAAAATGTGCTAAATTCAAATCCGACTTTTTGGTCTATATATGCAAGGAAAAATTGTTGAGACAAGAAGCCATGGCTCATTTGAAAGGTCTTTTTGTGCTTTCTAAGGTAAACAAAAAATCAGAATATTGAAAAAATCTGTGATAAGACCCCTTTTCCTGTGGCCTGGCTCATATGCTAATGCCTAGGGACAAAAGAGCTTTGCTGAAGAAGAGATTAATAAGATGGCAGCTATTCAAAATGGTGGCCATTTTTGTACAAATAGCAGTGGACAGATTTGTTTCAAATTTGTTATGCTGATACCTAAGGGACCCAGGAGTTCTGGTCGAGAATGACTTTTCAAGATGGCACTTGAATTTCAAAATGGCCATCATTCTTTGTAACAGTATGTAATCTTTGATAACTCAAATACTAGTTGAGGGATTTGGTTCAGATTCTATATGCTGATGCCTAGAGGCAAAGGAGTTCTGCTCTTAGCTTCAAAATGTTTGATAACCCAAATAATAGTGGATGGATTTGGTTCAAATTTTATGAGCTGATGCATACAGATAAATTTTCAACATGGCCTCTATTTATCATAATGGCAGCCATTTATCATGTTTTGTTCGGTGGGATGAGCTACTTCGTGGAGTTGTTGTTTTCTAGTTATTTTAGTTTTGTTTTGTTATTCCAATAAGTGAAATTATTGGTTCAGGTCCAAACCTGCAGCTAGGCAGGATTCGAAACTTGCTAGCAACTCCCCTTAAAATATCAGGTTACATCCATACTTTAAAATGGTACAGTATTTAACATGGTAAAGTCAGGATTAGTTAATTATTACAGCACTGCTAAATACTTTTGAATGGCTAAGCTTTGTTTTTAAATGTCTTATTACACCTCGACGCGACAAATTGATAAAATTAAAATCTAACTGCAGAATACGAACATCAAAACATTGAAAGATGCACATAGCAAAATTGGAAGTAATACATTTTTTCAGTCAAAATGAAAATTGACCAACTTTGTGGAATCAAAAATTCTGTTATTTCTGTTCGGTTAATCTACCTCCTATTTAATAGAGCTAACCAAAATTTTCAAAAGGCCTTTAGTGTCCTGTTTAAGAATTCCTATTCTGACTATAGAAAATGGATTCTACCATTTTATACCACGGCAGTAACAAAACAACCTTAAAATTGCTAGATACCTTGCACTATAGAGCTGCAATCTTAGTATCTGGAGCTCTGCATGGATCAAATGGCGACAAACTTTTGAAAATTCTAAACTGGCCAACTTTAGAAGCCAGACGATTATCACACATAGGTGTGTTAATGTTCAAGGTAAAACATAATATGTGCCCTTCATATATCAGAGATTTTTTAGACTTTTGACACCTGTACCAATAGGAATAGAGTTAAGGGATAGGCCAACCTATCACATCCCATTACATATTTCTACCAGGTTCAAGGATAGTGGAGCTATCCTTTTTTCTAAAATTTGGGACTCCTTACCATTACAGCTCAGGCAGGTGCCTACTATCTCTTCTTTTAAAGGCCAAATCAAAAAGCACTTCCAAAATTTTCAAAATATTCAGACAAATTCACAAAATTTATCTCTTCCCCGTAATTTAGAAATCAAACTGAACCAATTACGTGTTGGCCTCTTGTTAAATGCACATAAAATGGCCCACTCTTTTACAACTATCGATTCTGATGTATGTAGATGTGGTTTAAAACAAACCACAAAGCATTTCCTCTTACACTGTCGCCTCAACAATGATATAAGACGCCAAATGCTTGACAGGCTAAATGGATTATTTACCATGCATGACATAAATTTCTCCTTTAACAATTTAAAACAAGATGATAAAATTGAAACTCTTTTGTATGGAATTAACTTTTTAAATATTGAAACAAATAGAGAAGTTTTGTCTATTACAAGTACCTTTATTAATGAATCTATCAAACTTGTTGAATAAGATCATGCTACCTATTCTTTTCACCTACTCCAACCAAACTACCAACCAACCACCAGCAGCCCATTTTTGTATTGTCAAAATCTGTCTATTTTTGTATAATTTTATTGTAGTGTGTTTATATGTATAGTTGCCAATAATGTTTGCTTCGGCAACTTTTTGAAAAATCTTTGTAAAAAAAATTACTATGATAATAAAAAACAACAACAACAAACAACAACCAATACTCTCACATATGAATCTACTTGTTTAGACTCAATAAATTTGAGTTCTGAGATAATGAGGACTTTGTATCTATCCCCCGGGATTTATCCCCATGATGACATACATGCAACATACATGGTAATATGCAGGTTTAAAGTCCATTGTATCCCCAAAATTGTAAACCGAAGTCAAAACAGTCTTGCTGAGATCCTCATTTTCTCAGAAGAACTCAAGTTGATAGAGTCTCAACAAGTAGATTCATGTGGGATCATAGTATTGCTAGAATCCATTTTCAATAGTAAGAATAGGAATCCTTAAACGGGATATTTGGGTTACTTTTTAGAACTTTTTGTTGGCTCTATATACCCAGTGTCCCTCTTTAACCATGTTTCAATGTCTATGAGTTCACTTTGTGAGCTAATCTTCTCCTTCAGTCTTGACAGCAGTCTTTGTACATCAACTTCCAGACCTTCGTAAACCCCTATACTCACACCATATTGATCTATCAACTCTCTGAATAGTTGTCCATTCTCTGCTGACAAGATCAGGTTCCTCACACTAGATTTGACCTTGCTATTCTTTTGCAGCGCCCATTGTTTCATTAGTTCTAACCAACACTCCCTAATCACCAGATCAATCAGATTTGTACACCTATAGCCAGTAGAACACATTTTTGATGCTTTTAGTTTTGTAAGATTGTATGTTGCAAATACAAATAGGTCAGTTGGAATACTTTTTGCAGGTTTGAGGAGAGAAAGTTCTGGACATTCTATGTCTTTGATATTTTCATGTAAAGTCTTATCAAGCTCAACATACCGGTACTTGTTATTCTCCATAGATTTAATCACCAACTTACATACGCTATGATTTATATCATGGTAGCATTTCCCAAGTGATCTATCACTACTGTCACATTGAGCCTGATGTTTACGGACCAGAGTAAACAAAGCATGAGAATGAAATCGTGATTTCCACTTATGTTTCTTAACCTGCGACAAAATATACTTCAATGTCACAGCTATCTTTCTGTGATGCTCATCTAATCGTTTAACTCTTTCATCTGGTATTTCATAATATGACCTTATCCAGCCATTATAATCAGGCACCACTATGTAGAATCTTCTACTTGTATGAGGTAACTCAAGCATCTTCAGGCAGAAACATAAGTCAATATCAGTAACACATAATAATCCTCCAACACGTAGTTGGATACTTGGTCCATGTACTTCTGTATCTAGCTCTACTTCATGTATGCTCAGCTTGGATGATTCAATGGGGTTCCCCTTAAGTTTTATCTCACCCTTGTAAATCAGGCTATTCTCTGAGTTCCTGTCTAATAGACTGAGACTTTCCTTCACAACTTGTGGCAGAAACTTCTGAATTAATTGATTTGAAAGTAAACAACTGGAGTCGATGAATCTTGAATATTGAGATAATTTTGGGCATTGTGAGGGATGAACTTTGCATTTATATTTTTTGTCCGATGTTTCATTTTTAAAGAACTCAATATAATCAGAATGAACCATTGGAAGTACATAATCCAATTCATTTGGTGTATCTATCTTTGTCTGATTTGACATACTTCCATTTAAATGTACATCCCATACTGCTAGTGCAGGATGTGAACTGCTCAGTGTATCACAGATTGGTTGTACAATACGCGTCCTGATGTCCAGTTCATGTCTTGCAAGCTCAGCTGGACTGTGCTTTAGTTTAACATGGTTGTATACCTCTGTTACAAAATCGGTCAGTTTTTCTTCTCCATCTTTATCAAGTGAGTCTTTGATCAAACTAGTACTTTGTCTGTTGTGTCTTTTTTGACTGCATCCATTGCCCATTTTTAAATGTGATAAAAAAGATGTGAATCCTGTTGCTCAGTTTTCAACACTATAACTCAAATTTATTTTATGATACCATAGTAACATTCAACATGTTTCCTCATTCCTGATGTCAACCTGACCTCATGTCTGGCTTGCTCATGCTTTCGTTTTACATGGTTAGGGGAGGCATCAAAAGTTAATGTCTGCTAGGAAACCAAATAAATCTAATTAGGGGGGGGGGGTCAAAGCTATTTCAGTTTGCTATCCAGCAAATTTCAAAGGCCACGAATGTCCAAGTCCACAAGAACATGCGAAAAATTTACGATCAGCTTCCATTGTATCTAGTATCTAGGGAGGGGGTCAAACTCAAAACTAGATTTATTTATTTCTGTGTAGATTCATTATTTTCCATGTTTTGCCAGTCATCCAACTAGCTTTATCAAATAAACATCGGAAATAAACCATTATACTCTGAAGTAAATGAAGTTGAGTTATTTAGATTTATTTAGTTTCCTATCAGACATTGAACTTCTGATGCATCCCCTTATGTACCACTGTTACAAAATTTGTCAGTTGTTGACTTGTTGTTCTCCATTTTTATCATGTCCCTTGACTAAATGTCCACCATTTAGTGATATAACTGTATATTTATATATGACACTGTTTTCTCATGCAAGTTTGATGTAGTAGATAAGTTTTATTGAGTGATTTGTTTTATGAAGTAATTTGCTGCAACACAATTATTACGAACTTGGCTGGAAGTTTTTAAATGGAAAGTGTTTTTGTACTGAACATAGCCAGGAAACAAAGCTGTCTTGAGTGTTAATGCTAGCTAAATAAAGCTTGAAAATGTCATGAATTGAGTTTAATAGATGTAAAAATTAACTGTGTAATGTGTGTGTGTGGGGGGAGGGGGGTCATGGCTTTAGTAAAAACCTCACACAAAAATCAAAAGAATGTGTAATATATTTATGAATCTAAAATTGAAACTGAAACCAACATTTCAAGAATTAGGAGTTTGAGATTCAACTGCCCTTTTAAGTTATTTATTGAAGCATGTTGTGAATTCTAAGTCATGTTTCATAGATGTTATTCGTCAAAATGAAAGTTAAATTCTTGAATCTTTGAATAATTAATCTATAAGACTATAGACATTGACAACTTCATACCAGGTATAATACTTTAACAGATTGGCTAGTTATCCAAATGAACGAAGTACTGTACGCCCGGTATTATTCGCGAGTTTTAATTTCGCGAATTTTGAGAAATACCAATTTCGCAGCCATTAAATTTCGCGGATTTCAAAGGTTTCAATTCCATTATTCTCTGAATCCTCAAGCTCTGTACACTAATTTACCTTATCTACAGTAATTACACCTACCCAATGTCATATTTGGATAAGATTTAAAATTTTTAGATCTTAGTCAACGGCATAATGCACCTCAGCCTTTAATTGGCGAAATACGCGACGATTAATTTTCGCGATTTTAATACAGTCGCGAAAAGCGCGAAACTAAATCGCACGTGAAAAATACTGGGCGTACAGTATATACTTATATTCTCTAAGCAGACTTATTGCCTCTATGTCAAAAAATGGAAAAATGGGGCCACTATAGTAGTTTATTAAAAATTCACTGACCACTTTTCAGACAAGCACCTCATACATTCTTTGACCCTGGGGTATGTGCTAAAGGTTGAGAAAGTCAAATTCCATTACTTTTACATTTTCAGCGGGACCCCATCAATAACAGAAGTATATAATGATGATTGTTCCTATTTTGACTTATTTTGACCAGAATTGTGAAAAGATTATTGCCCATATATGAGAAATCCTGGTGAGAACATCTAGTCTCTATCTACAAGTACATAAGCACCTAGGATTCGTTTTCTTTAAAGTTCTTTTTAGCCTAATTGTTTTTGAAATTTTAATACATTTGACGAAAAATGAGGAATAAAGTCATCAAATAATAAATTTATTTTTCCATTTAATGAGAATGAAATATTTGATTGGGTGATTTACTAAGGCAAATGAATGACATGCTTCACAAAACAAATTAATTTTTATAGCATGTTTCTTCAATTTTCTGTATGTTTGCAGTGAAATATTCAAGCCGTATAATGAGGGTGAAACCTTAGTTGGAAAACTTCTCTGTGAAGTAAGTAACCAATAATATCGCCATATTTGCATCATTTTTTTTATGTTACCACCACAAGTGTTATAGTCTACAACTTTTTAATGGACTGTGTTCGGGGGTCAGTGTCTGGTGTTCAGGTGGCAGTCGATGTCTGTAACAAATGGCAGGTGGTGACATTTTGCATGTTAATGCCTTGTTCATCATTTTTATATAATTTCTTCAATTTGTATTACACAGCAAGCATATAACAGAAAATTCTTTAGTATATTATAAACAGAATCAGAGATATACATGTGTAATGATTGGCATAAATGGAAGCAATGTGTGAATTTGACCAAAGGTATTTTTTATCTCTTTTACCTTATCATATGGTGCAGTTATTTAAGTTTTGAAAATTCAAGTTCAAAAAGGGTGATCTCCTAAATATTGATTGTGCTTATCCACATTCATAGAGGAATGAACACAAGAATGAAAAAAAGTTAATTTTTCTTTGAGAAAGTATAAACATTTAGCATTTTTAGAAAAATTATATGATGAGGAATGGTTTATTTCAAAATTGGAACAACAAGTTACATAAAGTGTTGTTATCAATTGATAGAGAGTGCAAAATATGGAATGTACACTTTTTCCCTAAATCATGCGAAAATGTTCCCTTCAATTTCCTGAAAAAACTGAGGTATCTAATAAAATATTGAAAGTATTGATGATATATATACTAATTGCAGAAAAATTCACATTATCTGAATAATTTTATCACTTTCTCTAAACTATTGCCAAATAATTTGTCAAGGCATTGCACTGATCTATAAAATTGACATCTGATGTTTTATTAAAGTATCAATTTGAATGGTATATTTCCAAAACTGAAATATTCCATCATTTGAACAAAATAGCTGAAACAGCTAGTATGTTTGATCATTCTAAGATTTGATTGACAGCTCTATTTTTACACTTTCCATATATGGAATGAAATTGATTGCTTGTATGCTAAAACATGAAGGTCAAGCTGACTTGGTCACTCATTAAGACAATTTGAAAACTGAATTCTGGCTAAATATGATCAATTTATATCAATTATTTCTCGGCTAAAACACAATTTTAGGAAATACGACCTCTCAAACCATTGGCAGTGATGCAATAGCAGACAAGATGTGAACTTTTTATGAAAAAGTATATTTGTGAAAAGGGAGAATTTTGAAGAATTTTATGGCCCTATTTTGTTAAAAGAATGAATTTGATGATGTTGTTTAACTGGAATGCAAGTCATGACTTTAGATACAGAATTTACATACTGTAGTTTGGGTTAATTTGGGGCCCGCTTTAATGTGGCGAATTTGGCGAAATTGAAAAATTGCCAATTTACATCCTGACAAAGTTTTAAAAGAAACCCAGGGAATTTCTTTTGGTGTGTTTAAGTCAATTATGGTTTAGTTTTTACAAAATCTGAAAAGGATAAGGGTAATAATCAGAACATATCACTTCTTAATTGGCTCAGGGAGTTGTGTCATTAATAAACTACTAGACATAGTAGTTGAATTGAAGGAATAGGTGTAACAATTTGTGTTTTGTTTCAGTGTATATAAAAGTTGTTCCGTCAAAGCAATGTCCAAGCCCAAGTGTTCGCCAAATGAAATAGCCGCCAATATGGCAAAATTGCCAAATAAAGTAGCACCAAATTAACCCAATCTACAGTATACTGAAACTGTGAAAAGGCCTAATGTGTCTTGCACTATTCTTGGATGTATATTTTTTTTTTATTTATTGTATTACAGCTTGCAGAATTGAAGGCAAGCTGTGGAATACGGGAGACCTATATTGAGCAGTTCATCATGTCTTTAGAACGCAGAGCCCTTTCTCTCATAAAGCTTGTAGAACTAGACACGTTAGTATCTATAACTTTAAATGTTGTAAAGGGTCAGAAAGTCATCACTGGGTATGGTCACAGTTATTGTACATTTGTCATATGCAAATTATTAACGTGAGTTGATTTAGATTGATTTCATCTGATTTAAATTTTGTTTTTAGCTAACTGAAATTTTTGTGATAACCTTATTTTTTTAATTGTAAAGAATTGTCCTATTGTAGTATGGGTTTCATTTATCCATGATAAACTTGTAATTTAAGTTTTATATTGTTATCTTTCAGGAACAGGGGAAAAACAAAGTGCAATGTTAATAAAATTAAGAAAGATATGACTTTAACTCAAGAGGGAGATTTCCACATAGTATTATCAACAGCAGAAAAGTTGCAGCCAGGGATGTATGCTGCTGTTTATGGGGATCCCAAACAGATCACTGAGAACTTTACATAGCTGGACTATCCTCATTTACAATATAGAGAAACACCAGGAGACAGAAATGTAGCATATATCCAGAATTTGTTGTGTAATTTGAAACCTTCAAATTAGAAGTGGAATCATGTTGTCCATACATATCTGTCATCATTCAGTTTTGGTAAATCTTATCAATATTATGGCTGTGCCATTATTTAGTAGATAGAATAGCACTATGTTGAATATACTTGCAAGGTGACTCACAGGGCTTATTGATGCATGGGTAGGCCTATAAAAAATACTGTTGAACGACTTGTTCATAAAACTCAAAGTAGCACTCACTGTGAGAATTTCTGTTGCAGAAAAGTAAATACTTTCCAAAATCAGCACCACAAGTTAACAGTTAAGCAAGTGTAGTAACCCAGAACTGTGATATTGTAATCTTAACAATGTTAATGTCACAAAAGACATTGTAAAGTACTAAACTTATAAAGACATATACTTATATGAGAAATGCAGTAATGTTGTCAGTCCTGTACAAATACCAGTTGTATATCTAGGGCCTTGTTACATAATGCAGAGAATTCCTAGTCATGTACAATTGGAAATTCGAAATACTTAAATTAATTCTTTTTCTCAGGCTTTGTATCCTTGTAAATGTATACTAGTATGTACTATGTAGTTTAAGTCGCATCTAAGTAGTAGTAATGGCTGTAGAATGAATCAGTTGCTTCTGACTTTAATATTGTCCTTAGAAAGAAATCTAAAGGAAAGTTTGTATTTTGTGATGTGCTGTGTACCTGTGTGTTGATTTTTATGTCACCACCACAATTTGCAAAAACTTACAAGGTGGTGACATTTTTTCATGGTAATGGCTTAATGCCTTTTAATGGCTTGCATCAAGACCCTGTATCAACCCCACACCCATTCTCTCTATCCCAGTGGGAATAGGGGGGGGGGGGATTGACAGATTCTTAATGAAAGACTATTGATTTTACATCATATAATTATTAAATTGTATCGTATATATGATGGGTATCGACCAGACCATATTTATAAGCAAGCCAAGTGGTATGTTAAGCTTAACATGGATCCACAAATGCTTGCTATATCGTCAGCTCAGAACACACTTGGTGTATCTGAAAAAAGTTTTGAGTTAAGCACAGATTCTGAATGAGGAGACGATATAGTGAGGTCTGGTTATACTATAGTGCCCAGGCATGTGATGTCAATGTAAATTAAAATAAATTATGTTCAATAACTTACTGGTATGTGAAAGTGAATGATATTAAAGTAATATAATTGTGATAGTGATAATAATAAAAAGTAATATTTTAAAAATGTTTTTTGTTGATTCAAGGTGTCCATTTCAGTACTGCTACAAGATCATTAATTTAAATCTTCATCAATAAGCGCTTTACCATGGTGTCTCTTAAGTATTTTAAAATATTAAAAAAAATCAAGTCAAATATTGCCTAACTAAAACAAATTGCAGTGTACCTCCCTCACCCACTTTATATTGTAGTTTTAAATATCAATATTAAATAGAAGGGATGTACAGATGCATGGCAATGAATGATTATTTTCTGACTTATTATTATGTGTCAATGATGGATGAAAATTATGCATGAAACAATTCATCTTGGGTTATGGGAGCATTTCTAGAAAATATTTTGGTTAGTAAAAAAAATAGTGAATTAGTGGTCCAGCCCTACACAGCATTAATTGTCAGCACCTGGAAGACTCTTACATAATATGAAGCTGTATCATGAATCATAAAAATGCCCCCTCCCTCTTTCTATAATCCAATTTGATATATCAGGTCCGTAGCCAGGATTTGCCAAGGGGGGTTCACTTTTTGAAAAACTCCGGGGGGAGTTTCACTTGCGATAATTTTGGTCCAAATAGTGCCCAGAATGATGAAAAACTGCACGATTTTGAGAGATTTTTGGCGGGGGGGGGGGGACTCGAACCCCCCCTCCCCCAGCTACGGGCCTGTACATAGCTTGAACAATTGTGGCGTGCTTCATTTAACCAAATGTTTGATTAGCTGTTTTATTTAGATACCCAGTGTTATGTTCACAGATGGCTTTATATTTTTCAAATCATAGAATCAATGGAATTGAAGGAAACTAAGGTATCAAATAAATGATTATCCAGTAAATGGGTGAATCTCTGGATCCAGTTATTGTAGACTAATGTGAACTTACACAAGAAGAATGGATATTCAAATAACGATAAGTTTGATATTGATAACACATTTTTATGGTTATATTAACACATGGATTTTATAAAACCAAGCAAAAGTATGTTTTCATATACTAGCAGGTGTGCATAGAAAATGCAGAATAATCAACAATGTCAAGAATGATCGATCCCCAAAACCTGAAAACTAGCCCTGATTCCCGAGTACTATGCGTTTTTTATTTTATTTTCAAACAATAGAAATGACAGTAACAAATAAGTTCTAAATGACAACAGGATTTCAATATATATTTACTTGATATAAGGATTAATTTTACATAAAGATTTACACATATCAAATTGATTATTAAAAATACGAGACTAATTAGTGACTCTGTTGAAAGTTACTTGTGCTGAAGTTGAAAATCGGATTTTCACACACTTTTTGACATCTTGCGATATTAAAACCATTTCAAACATACTACAACGTTAAACTGAGGTCCATTGATGTCAGGAATATGGAGAGGTTACATACGATTGCTGGAGAAACGTCCACTAATCACCACAGCTCTTCAAACAGGTTTTGTATTTTTTGTGGGATCATAGTGATAGTCTACTTTTACTCGATTCTCTACCCAATTCTTGGCTAGAAGTGATTCCATCTGGAACACCGTGAACTATTGTAAATCTTAAGCTGTCGTTCAATAAATGTATGTATTATTCAAAAAATCGTTCTGTAAACATTTCATGAATCGAAATGGTAACAGCTTGTCTTGTTGATGAGATATTGAACGTTTTCATTTAAAATAGACGTCGTCTCGTTCTCCATTTGGAAAGCATGCCTTTTTTTCTGCTATTGCGATTTAGTCAAGATGGCCGCTTGTTGTAAAAATTTCTTTCAGTTTTGTTATAATTCTTTTGTGAATAAATATCCTGCGAAGTAGACCAATTTATGAAATAGGACTGCGTGTAAAGATCAATGAAGGTAAGTTTATTATGTTTACATAAATAAAAATAAGACGGCTCTGCAATTTAAAGGCAACAAAGAGTGTCTTATTTATATTGTATGGCCACACTCAGTGGCCATAGAATATGGTAAGATTACTCTACTGAGCTGACAGAAGTCAGCTCTGGGAAGTTGGATGTATGTGTACTTGAAGAGAATAAATCGAGCCCATTTTGACTAAACGCTGTGCTGAGTAGCGTTTATAATGCCCTATATATATTTGAATCAATACATAATTTATTTATTGTTACCTTATTTTGTTCCTTCAACAGTCTGTTGTTGCAGTAAATCAATGTTCTATTTGACAACAAAACTTTTGAATTTAGATTCCAGCCATTTTAAGTCTTGTCTATGCGTTTCCAGGTGAACCATTAGACAGATTGATTTCAAATTTTCAGGGATGATTCTTTTTATGAAAATATCAAACTGAACAGTTTTTGGCATTCTGGCTGTGAAGGTGGTTATTTTGGATTTCCATCCTGAAATCTTGCATTCAGGATGAAAAATCTGTATCACCCATTGGTAAGAACATGTTGTACATGTTTGTGTACTCAATTGACCTTATAAGTTTGTTTGTTTGTCTGGTAAGCTGTTTCTGGTGACCTATTTCTTTGTTTGTCATTAAGTTTTATACATTGATGAGGGTTTGGTATAATGTAAAGAAATGCATGCTGTGTGTTCTGAGATACACTATTTGAAAATAGTGATCCGCTGATCCCCTGGATTTTCTCATATTGAAAATTATTGGAGAGAACTATTGTAGAGAACACGTGTCATAGTGTTCTCTGTCAATCATTGATCAATGCATTTTTGTAAAAGCCAGTGTATGAGCCACTCTTACTTTGGGGTTCCTTGGTTTAAAGGGGAGGTACTTCCTTGTCCGGTAATGTGATTGGTTTGTTCATTGAACTGATACATTAAACTGTTACTGTATATACTGGGACAAGGAAGTACAACTTTAGTGTGTTTCTTAGCAGTTTTGGGGAGGGTCGTTTTCACATTCTAACTTTGGGTGGGCTTTTTGGCTTTATTTCATATAACTCATACACTGGCTTATTTGGACATTATTATACATTGTTTGGTAAGTTTGGCTATAATAGCACATTAAATTGATATAAACTTAACTCATATGTTTGTCATTTATTAAGTGTAAATTCATTCAGATTAATCATATTCCCCAAGACTGCACACACACTCCGACACCGATCCTAGCCTACTCCTGCTGCTTGCACAGGGAGCTTGGTATCCTCACCCGGGGGATACAGGCCCGAAGATGGTCTCCGCTCGGCCACACCTTCAGTAGGCTACAGGTAGATACCCAACCGCCAATCTGACCACCCCTATAGAGAAACCAGGGGAGGATCAGGTGGGACTCGAACACATTCGCGGTGCACCTAGTGTACATTAGGCTAGCTTGCTAGTCAGTCCGGCGAGTCCCCTCCTGCTCCCCACGATTCTTTACACTATTGCATTATATAAATATATGTTCACTTCACATTACCAATTGAGTGTAACAGGGAATTTTATTAAACAATTTTCTTAGTTAACATATCCAAGGGCCTCATATCAGCTACCGGGAGATCACTGCATAATATATTTTAAATGTTGATTCTTTACTATCCAGGTGCCATTATGGCTACAGGAGATGCCATTGCACAGAAACTGATTGAAAGAAAACCACAACTTGAAATAAAGAGGTCAGCAAGATTCTTCTGTTTCGGAGCCTTTTTTGGAGTAAGTACACTTATTATCCCATCGAACAAGGTTCGGAGGGATATAGGGAACGCCTCTGTCCGTACGTACGTACGTCCATCCATGCGTACGTCCGTCCGTACGTCCATCCGTCCGTCCGTCCGGGCAATAACTCAAATACCGTTGGCCCGATTTTGTTCATATTTTGTACACATATACCCTATGGGGGTAGAAGTTCTGCTCTAAAGCCGATTTTCAAAATGGCCGCTCATTTAAAAATGGCGGCCATTTTAGTGCTGATTTTACAGTAATTTAGGTGCAATATGTAAAACTGTAATAGCAATATGTTTTAAATGTAAAAAAATTATGTAGGACTTTGATAAAGCTAAAAATGTAGATATTAAAGAAGCACATGGCAGCCATCTTAAAAAATGGCGGCCTTTACTCGTTATTTTACGATTTTTGCTGTAACTCAAGAAGTAGTAGATCGATTTTGTTCATATTTGGTATGTGAATACTATAAGCATGACTCACTGTCTAATGACATTTTTGGTAGAAGCAGCCATTTTGAAAAATGGCCACCATTTTAACATATTTTACTATAACTCAAAAAGTAGTGGAGCGATTTTGTTCATATTTGGTATGTGAATACTATAAGCATGGCACACTGTCTAATGACACTTTTGGTAGAAGCAGCCATTTTGAAAAATGGTCGCCATTTTAACTTATTTTCCTATAACTCGAAAAGTAGTGGAGCGATTTTGTTCATATTTGGTATGTGAATACTATAAGCATGGTACCCTGTCTAATGACACTTTTGGTAGAAGGCGGCCATTTTGAAAAATGGCCGCCATTTAAACGTAATTTACTCGGCCTTTATTCGCTATTTAACGATTTTTGCTGTAACTTGAAAAGTAGTGGAGTGATTTTGTTCATATTTGGTATGTGAATACTATAAGCATGGCACACTGTTTAATGACATTTTTGGTAGAAGGCGGCCATTTTGAAAAATGGCCACCATTTTGAAGTATTTTAAACCATTACTCGAAAAGTAGTGGAGCGATTTTGTTCATATTTGGTATGTGAATACTATAAAAAAAAGCATATTACTTCTTCTGATGACAACTTGGCTAGTGAGCAACCATTTTGAAAATGGTGGCCTTTCTTATGTGTGTTATTTTATGATATTTGCTATATATTTTGTTTGTAAAAATGCCAGTCATTTCTGTTCTATGGGATTCGCTACGCTTTGGCGTTGCCGTTGTTCTGATTATAGATTGATACTGGCCACCATTTATTACTAGCTAGTTTCACTTATAACCCTATTTAGAATTCAGATATAAACCCAGAGTTTGACTTTGCTCTGATCCTTTTGAATCACCAACTTGACCGTCCGTCTGTCCATCCATCCATCCATACATTCACACATCCATCCAGTTTTGGACAAATGAAAAGTCATACATCTGACCGAATGCTTATATCCATTTTATGAGGGTAAATTTACACCAATTATTTACCATATGAGCCCACTACAGGATCTCTGTGAATTCTTTTTACACATACTTTAACTTTCCAGGGCCCTGTATTAAGAGGCTGGTATGGAGTGCTGGATAAGGTAGTCAAGCCAAAGAATGCAAATCTAGCAGCACTAGGGAAAGTCTCATTTGACCAGGTACACATATGTATCAAGTTTTCTTGTCATCTTGTAATTGTAGGTCCTGAATAATAGAGATGTTTCAATACATTAGTCAACAGAAACATACAATATGGTCCTTGCTTCAATGCTTCCGCTGTTACCATGTCTAGTACCATACCATACAATTTTTTATATCATTTGAAACCGATTTTGTAAGTTCCATTTTATTTTTTATCTGTTTTTTTCAAAAATAATCATATATAATCAGGTGAATGGATTGGCATCAGTTATATAAATTAAAATTGCTATTGTGTGATCTTTTGTTTCAGCTATTTTTTGCCCCCTGTTTTCTGACTGCATTCCTGGGTATTATGGGCCTGGCAAAAGGAGACTCAACTGAGGATATAAAACAGAAATATAAACAGGTTAAGTACTTGAATTCCATGGTTATATTTTTAGAAATATATAGGATATCGATTTGTTGAAATTCTAATTATTTTTGAAAATGCATTGTGGCCATCTTGAGAAATGGCAGCCATTACTCGAGCGATTTTGTTTATATTTGATACCTGAATACTCCTAAAGCATGCTACCCTGTTTTATTACACTGGCCATTTTTATGTGTGTTATTTTACGTTTTTTTGCTATAAATGAAAAAAAAGTTGAGCGATTTTGTTGAAATTATATGTGAATACTTAGAAAAATATTACACTGTCAATGACAATTTGCCTAATATACAGGCATTTCAGAAAATTGCAGCAATGGAAAAGTAGTGGAGCCATTTTGTTCAAATTTCATATGTAAGTACTTAAAAGCATATTACAATGTCTAATGACAATTTCCCTTACAGGCAGTCATTTCCCAAAAAGGGCAGTCCTGGCTGTTCGATGGGATTTGCTAGACTCAGCGTTGCTGTTATCTGTTTCTCACTGATTAATTGGTTTTATTTTAGAATTTTGTCGATATATTAATAGCAAACTACAAACTGTGGCCCGCTGTGCAGCTAGTCAACTTCTACTTTGTACCACTCCAACACAGGTGAGCAGATTTATTTTATTTGTTGCTGTTTTGAAAGATCATGTATCCACCATGAATGGAAATGGACCGTTAAAATATCAAACACATGTAATATTAAAAGATATTCAGATAATATTGGATCATGGAACCCCTAATATTACCCATTCATCAAGCTTTACTATCCTTTACATCTGAAACAATTAATCTGCCTGACAAGCACAATAACCCATATGCAAGTAGGTAGTTACCAGTTTCACCATCAGGTGGCTTATTTGGGTCTGGCAACATGGCAGGTATATTAGAAAGTTCCCTTAAACTTGAATATTCATCACTTCTAGTGGATCAATTTTCATATGACTATATGGTATAACACTTGAAAATATAGCTGAGTAGTTTTACATGTAGATTTCAAATACTTTGACTGAATTATATATATTTAACAATGTAAATTAAGATTATGTCTACTTGCATCTTGTCTATTATATCAACATAGATCACTAGCAGTCATAGAACAATTTACAGCGAGCATTCCAGATCGATACATAATAAACCGATACATAATAAACCGATAATGATTAATTGTACCTCATATGTTATTGCAGATAAACCATACTAGACTTAGAAATAATGGTCCTGAGTGTTTTCCTATGGTGGCATTCTGTTTTTTATGAGATCACAATTCCTTGAAAATCAGTCGCTAGATTTTCAGCAAATTTTTACACATCTTAGAGGACATCATGATCGATTAACTTTTGGGCAGCAACTTCTTTTCTGATAGTCTTTTCAGAAAAGTGCCATTCAAAGAAAATTGCTCATTAGATTTCTTCAGTATATGTTACAGGTAGCCCATCTTTACAGGTGATACACATTTGGTGGCCATCTTGTTTTCAGGCAGCAATTTATGAAGTTTTGTGATAAATATTATAATTCCAGGATAACCACTCAATTTGATTTTCTTCAAATCCATACACACGTTGGGAGGTTTTAAGTTCAATACCTTTTGGTTGCAATCTTGCTTTCTCGTATATGTCTTTTCAGTGTAATTCCAGGAAGGTGCTAAGCAAGTTTAATAGATTAACTTCAAATATACTGCCTACTTAGTGGGATATTTCATTCATGTCATGAGCCATCTTAACATAGTTTTCAAAAGTTCCCTTATTCATATTCTACATATTACTCAAGTATATTGTCTATACTTCTGTTTATGTGAAAAAGGATAACATTACAAAAGTACAAAGCAGCTGATGTCTTTTAAACATTACAATTGTACATTGCAGAGTGATGGTTGTTAACTTTACCGCTTTATTCTGGAACACATATCTTGCATGGAAGTCTGAACGGGACATTGACGCAATAGACAATATAATTCCAGTTGATGACACTGACAATGTTGTGCTAAATCAAACAAATGCTGATGTCCCTAATCCCAATAAGGATATTATTATTTTCCTCGAGGATGAATGTGCAAATAACAAAGCTAAGGTTGGAACTACCACTTGACGCATTTTTAAATTAAAGAAATTCTATGTGCCAACGTTTTTGAAACATTATCGCTCAGATTGAATTTATGATACCTGTACCCATTCTGGTTTACCACTCGCCCTCTTATCTGTCATTTGTGAAAGATTGAGACAGAGGGGGCATACTTATCATGATGGACTGTTACCAGTCATTCATAATAAAGGAAAATGTGCAGAAGTAATTTTATTGTATAACGAGGCCTGTATCATACGACAAATTAGTTTTTTAATAAAAAGATGTATATTTATGCAGTGTGCTCACATATATGTATTATTAAAAACACCAAGACTTGTTACATGTTAAAAATAAATTGAATAAATAAAGTTAAATTGTTTTTTTTGTTATGTGGTCACCGTAGTGACATATTGCTTTGATCTCTACTATTCCTTTTGATATCTTGTGTCCCATTTTCAACACTTGCTGGGAAACTTAGGTATTCTCCAGTCCTGAGGCTATACTCGTCAAAAACCATTTAACTACATGCAGCCATTGGGCATTAGGATGGCTCAACCATACCAAATCTGTATCATATTTTTACTAAGTATGGATAGAAGATACTTGGCTAAATAAACCATAGTAAAACAGCAATGGGGTTATAAGGAATGTTCCAAGTCATGTTATAAGCCATGATGGCTGAAGAAACAAAACAGAGTTTCTCCTAAATAGCAATTCGAATGTTTTTTATCAGCTGTTTAACAATAACTGAAGGTGGCAAGAATTATTTATTTCATTTTGGTTCTTTTAAACATTTAAACATCCGCATTTCGATAAGTATAGGTTATTATTTTATGAGTGTATGTGAGTCTACTGAAATGGAAATAAATCAACCTTCTCATGAAATTTATTGAACGTTTAAATTAATTATTAAAAATCTTGACACCAAAAATGAAATACCGTAAAAAGATTTTCAAATATGTTTTGATTAAAAGTTGTAAATATAGCTCTATATTTATGTTCCTGTTTAGATCAGAGAGATATGCATACAATAATTTAACTGGACGTGCCATCTTTGGGTCATGTTAAAACATAACATAAATCATATTTTATACCTAGATTTTCTTTCATGTTCCGCCAGCTAAAAGTTTTTTTCGAGTTATTATTTTAGAATTATCTTTAGAGGTAGGGAATTCACTGTATAACTTATAAATATTTCAAAAAGAAGAGGCTTTGTGCCATTGATTTACCTTCTGAAAATGAAAAATGTTTTCAAAATGAAATTTTATTTTGAGGTACAGACAGCGGTCATTCAAATGATAAGGGCATCTATTTATGTAAAATTAGCTCCCGATTCAAAGAAACATCACATGCCTTAATCATGTGAGAAATCCAAAAATCACTTAATTTTTAAGAAAAAGTTTAAGCATTCATTTAATTTAATTTTTCATTTATTTTGGTTATAATTTAATTCATATTTCACCTCCTTATACAATAATGAGAACTTTGTCCAGTTATGTGTTTTCCTTTTAAATAATTGATTGGGCCCATGGTCTGATGGTCTACAATGGTTATATTCATAACGATTGGAATTCTACTAAGCAGGTTCAAGTATATAATTTATATCATTATTCTCCATAGAAAGTCTATTACCCAGGGGCCTTGAAAATTACACACCATATAAATATACATTGAATAGAACCAAGTAGTTTTCAACATGTTATTACAATTGAAATAATTAATGATCATCTTAATTATATCATTGATTCATAATAGTAGAGATAGGAATGTAGCTAATGGTCAGTGAAGAATTTTAATATATTTGGAATAATGATGGTCTTTTGTAGTGCAAATACATTGTATTGTATTACATACTGGAAAATATACTGATTAAATTTAAAATTTGAATTTAGAAATCAACCGATGGTTTTTGTTGGAATAATTATTTTTTATGTTTATAGCAGATGAGTTGCTTGTTGTGAATTTGAAAATCTAAGGTGATGAAAATATGATACATGGCCACGGCAACACTGATTGCATAAAACAAAGAAGAGGCTAACGGGCATCCCATAAGATGGCATTTTACATGATTGATGGCATTCGTACTGGACCATACAAATATTCAACTCATGAGTGTTGACAATCACTTATACCATAGAGGTTAGTGTCAAATGAAATCAACAATTTTTTATAGGGAAATCCAGTGGACTTTCCTTTGAAGAACTTACTATGTGTAAAATATGAAAAATGTGTTTTGTCCATTAATTTGTAAACACATTTGATATATTAGATTGATGAATCTTTAAAAAGCAAGTGCGGGAATTATGTATAGTACTTAACCTGAATTGACTTATCGCATGTGAGAAGGGATTTTGTTATTTAGTAAGCTCCTAAATTATTTATTTTATATTAAATACTTTAGGGTTGGACATTGCGGACTGGGGATGTTATGAATTTGACGTGATGAAGAAATATTATGCTTTCAAGGCATTTATCTTAAAGAATTATAGAGCTAAACAGAGGTAAGCATTTTTTGTTTGGTTGTATTTTTTTGTGTAACAAATAATGCCATTCAGAAGTGAATATAAAAGATAAATTGCTTTAAAGTGTCGCTCTGCCCAATCGTCAAAGTATTTTTTTGTATTAAACATCAAATACTCAAGTGGTGACATATTGTTATGGTCTACAACATTTTTGTGAACAGTGGTTGGTTGTTGGCATTGACATTTTGTATGCTAGTGCCTTGTTTGCTTTTCTAATGGAGCTATTAAAGTTACAATTGATAAAATATCAATAATAATGTTTTTGTACTGTGATATATCAGATTTAGTCTAACTTCAATATATGCTCTTCTTGACGTCACTGTATTATTTATTGGATCATACTTGTAGATTCATGTAAATTTTTTTCATGCCATTTCAAATAAGAACAGAAAGGTCCAAAAAACAATGCATTTTATGTGATGATTATAATCATGTAATGATTCAAGATGTCAATAAAAGTTACATATATGTCAAACTGCCGTCATTATTTATTAATGTAATGGCAATAAAAAGATACAGTGATGACATTGTGATCGTCATTAAGTTTTCCAATGTAGTTTTTTATGATTAGGACATTATCACGGGGGATAAGCAAAACGAGGGCGAAGCCACGGACTGCGACTCGCGTAATTCAAAACGAGGTTACAACGCATTATAGCTGAACAATGGCGGTAAGTCCAAACTTAATTTAGAAGGCATGTTAGGATTTGGGGTAGATTATTGGTTTGGATATTCTACAGAATAGCTAGTATGTTCCAGTCGGTGATCAACATATTCATACTCCACCTGCAATGGCATTCTTGGTGCTCGGCTGTCCAATAGTTTAGCATGAACACAAATGAATTCGAAATCTGCCACAAAAAATGTAATTTTGTCAATATTTGTCCCTAATATACCGATTTAAACAAAGGAATCAGAAATGACATCGAATTAATATAACTATTCATGTTCTGTTGTTACAATTACATCTTCGTGTGAAATTTGGTAAGCGGAAAACGTACAATGACATAGAAAACTGGAATTTACAATAGTCGCAGTCCATCCATCTGCCCAACGCAGTCCGCGACTCAGTGTTGCTTTATATCTGAAGCTGAACGCAATCACAGCCAAAGGTAGATAGCACAATGTGTGTACAGGTGTGGCCGAAATGGAGCAACTTTGGACAAAATTGAATATAAAGGGCTATTTTAATAGACCTACATCGTGTCTCAATCCATTCTGCAAATATATACAAGCTGTCAAATACAGCTGAAATCATGAATTTATGGTAGCTAGCAATATTGATGGACTGTTGGAAAGATCATCCAAAATTACATTAACTCACCAACTCTCCAATTATTTGATATTTTCCTGATATCTTAAATACTAGTCAATGTACCCTTCCCCAACAGCTTTTATTGCATCATCAAAAAGTTAATTGTTTCGCATTTCTACTTCTTATAAAAAGTCTCACCACTATCCAATTATCTATATATTTAACCCTATCCACAAATTGGTTTGTAATAAACATATTACGTTGTCATCTTGCGCTCGACTGTTCTGCCAAATACGCTATTGAATTGCCATATTTCTAGGTCTTAAACGATACAATATAGCAATTTGGGACATTGATTCAGGTAATAGATATATGTTAATCAACGTAACTTTGAATGATAATCTGGATGCTGACTTTCTTTTCCTGAAACAATAATAGCGTAGGAATATACGTGTTCGCGGCTGGACTGCGTTACTTAGAATATCAATGGAGGCTGTGTTGCGTTGTTGAAATAGCTTTGTTTACTGGACTGCGTCCACTATGAATGCGCAGTTTGAATCTAATTTTCTCCTCATGAACACATTCTATTATCAAATCATTTTCACGAATTATACTCGGAGCCTCAAGTAACCTTTAGATATCAGAAACGTGTCAAAACTCCTTTCAAATGTATAGTAAATTAAATAATATGCACATATTTTACAGGTAAAATCAGAACTTTGCTACTGTTTTAGCTTGATCTGGACAACTGCTTATTTTCTTATCTACAGACCAACAGTAGATACAGAGTAATATTTTGGTCACCGATTAGACACTACGATAGCATTTAAAATACCTGGATTTCTCTATTTTGTCGGAAGAAGCAGAAGGCACTGCCTGAAGGCAGAAGGCCAGAAGGCTGGGCTGCGGTGTAAAGTTACGCGAGTCGCAGTCCGTGGCTTCGCCCTCGTTTTGCTTATCCCCCGTGATTATAAGTAAAGAGAAATACAGACAAATTGATCACCAACACTTAATATTTGTACTTTTGTAATTGGTTCTCTTGGACTGGCAAAATATGCTGAGTTTTCAACTATTTGTAATAGACTATGGACTTACAGTATAAGTATTATCGGTCAAACTTGGATATTTTCCTGAAAGTCTGAGTGGGAGTGCATACAAAATTTTAGAATATAAGACACCTTCCCTGTCATCACTTCTTTGAAAAAATCAAAAAATATTATGATTTAGAAAAAAACATTTATTATATTCAGTTTGTAGAATTTTGACTTTGCTTTGCATACATTTCAACATTAAGTCAGTAGAACTTTCAAGGTCAATGACAACTGTTTGTTTCAAAATTGGCAAGATCAGTTCACTTCAGAGCAGGTAGAATATTCCTTTAGAATACTCATTTTATTTTACCACAGTGTATCTGTAAGGTATCATCTCTATAATTGAACATTCTGTACTCCTTCCATCTTGGAATATGTTATTCACAAAACATTGCAAATACTAAAGCAACGGCATATAATGAGTCATTTTTGAAGCTTGAACAAGCCGAATTGTCTACTGTATCATCCCAGACACACCTACTAGCCATGGATGCACTTTGGCCTCCAACTTCTCCAATGGTGATACTACATACAAGTTTATAACGATTATAACCCATCTCTTTCACTCTTGTTTTGATGATGGAAGTTAGTTCTTGCGTTAGTTTAGTGCATGTGTCCTTGTTGTATTCCGTCTTCTTTAAATGTGTTTCCAACACATCAGCCATCATTTTTTCCACTTTGCAAGATGAAAATGTTTCTTCAGGAGCTGGCTTCATTTTATACGAATTCTCCAGTGTTACCATCTGTCTGTGGGTCGGCACCTCCGAGACGGAGGATCTTGTACTCGGAGCTACATTTTTACTCGCAGGGACACCTGAGGTTGTCCCAGGAGGCAGTTGGCTTTTTCTTCGACTTTTCTGATTGCCCTGTTTATCCGCTGCCATCAATTTATTTGTCTGGCCGACAACTTTATCCATGTTGTTTTTAGATGCCATATTATTTGTTCTTTTGGTTGTTGTACAACAATGTTCAGTGGATTACAAGTTCATTGAGTTGTCAAGTTTTTCTAACTTCGTTACTTGTTAACCGCTATGTACATGGCAATTCTGGACACTCAAATTAGGCTATCTCTCATTTATTGTCTCTCTGAATTATTTTGTTTGTGTGAATGTGTTGTTACTAGCTTTCCATGTAGGTTATGTATGTTGGTTGTGAAGGAACATAAGAGGTTCGAATAAATCAGATTAACTATATAATAAAAATCCTTAAGATTTCTTACATCAATATCAATGGAAAAATCTTGAACAATTTACTGTGTTCAATATACTATTCAAAGTTGTACATTGTTTTACCATTATTGTTTTTTTATACTTTTATATTTTTTAACGTATTACATTTGTTTGTTTTTTCATTAAAATATTGTAATATTTTGGCAGAGCTAATTTCAGTTTACACGCTAAGAGGATAATTTTTGAAAATGATCTTGAATGGACTTTTCAAGTGCTAAACTTCCACATCTTTTCCTAATCCAAATAATCTCTTTTGTGTTGGGCATTCAGATTTAGAAAATTATTTAAGAATAACAATATTAAAAATTGATCTGATAATGACTGTGTGTGAGTATATACAATCTATTCATATCAAATCAGTTGGGCATGTAATTTATTATTTACTATGTATTGTTAAATTCTTCAAGGGGTTTTCAATTATATTCCCATTAAAAATCACATTGGATTCCATATTGTTCATATATGATCTATATATTATGCAATATATAGATCACTACATTTTGTTATTTCATTTGAAATACTGATACATTATCTTCTAGTTGACCTTGATCTATAAATGTGACCTTGACCTCTCAAACTGACATGAGTAATGTCTTAACTCAGACCATGTGTTTTATATATTACTATTAAAGGTGTCCGAAAATTATGCAATTTAGTTTAGTTAGATGAGTCCGATTTTTTTATTTGGGTCTGTAAGCTAGCTATATCAATTTCAGCATTGTTTAGTTCAACATTTTATTGTAATTGCCAGGATAATATTACCAGGGTAATACAATGATGGAGTAGTGTATATTATATACCTAATATTCATGTACTCCTTAAATTATTCATAGTCTATGCAAAAATTAAATGTGTGAGTAATTCAAAACCATATATTCAATCTCTTTATTGGCCAAAAATGTAAACATATGTATAAATATTGAATTTGTATTTTAATGAAAATGTCTTCTGTAACTTTATCTATTAGATGTGGTTATAGTACTATGAGCATATAGAGTAAAGATAATTATATATAATAGTATTTCTGTGATAAAATATCACAACTCTATCAAATGGCTCGTTATTTTATTTCTTGATGATATCAAAATAGAATTTGACAGGGTCACGATGCGTAGATAAGTAACAAAAGCAGAGTAAGAATCTCAAGAAATGATTGATATTGTGCAGAAAATCCTCTAACCTCTTGAATACAGAAAGTAATGGATATATAGTATCTCTCACATAATTTCTCATTAGGATGGCTCTTTTGAATAATTACATTAGTCATATATTAAAATGTGTATAATTGATATGTTATCACTATCAAATGATGATAAAAGATTGTTTTATTAAGAAAGTAAAATGGCAAAAAATGAAACATGTTATCCAAGGGGTTAAACGGTGAAATTCAGGACATGTCAAAATTTATATATTATTGTCACTGGAAACCATCATCACATGGTTTAGCATGTGCCTTTTGCTTTATAGTTGATATTATAAAACCCTTTTTATTTGTATTTGAGAACTGTCACTAGAACATTGGAAATTAATTATTTGAACAATTCCATTGACATTTCATAATATGTACCATTGATTAATCAACCTCTTGAATCCCAGGCTCTAAAAACGGTTGAAACCAGAGAATTTTTCAGTTTTTTGCCACCTGTTGTCATTTTACTACACATGTACCTATACAATTGTAGATACTCAACTTAGTAAATCAAAAGGCAGATATCATTTTCTCACATTTTAAAACAATTTTTTTGTATAAATTGAATGAAAATTGTTCAAATAAGAGCAATTTTAGCAAAAAAAATTGTGACAGATTTTCTAGTCACTCTGGGTTTCAAGGTCATTTCTGAGGTGACAAGAAATCTTGTCACTCCAGGTAGTCGAAGAGGTTAACATAAGGTTAATACATGTACATTATTGTTATTAATAAGTTTATATAAATGAATAATGAACAATTTTAATTATTGCCATGTTTCAGTGATGGCATATTTTAGATGTGCAATAGACTCCCATGTAGTCAGAACATACTCTCAATATGACTAAAGCTGATATCCCCATAAGACATGTTTAATGGATAATATAAATTTTATGTACAGCTGTACATATTGTTGGGTCTCTACGAAACGATGACGCCAATATGATACGACAAACTTCAGAGTTCAGAGTAACATACGATACTTTATTATAAAGAGTCAAACTACACTATCTATGTACAAGTTATATACTACTGAGCTACTGTACTGACTGTAAAAGACCCAATCGTAACTCCAGATCGTAACTCCAGATCATAACTCCAGATCATAACTCCAGATCATAACTGCCAGGGTGAGGTTTCGAAGCCTCTTATATAGTACTACTATTGGCATGTTGCCAAACCACAATTGGCAACCTGCCAATGACCAATTTGGCAAAGTGCCAATGAAACTTAATGACCAAATTATTCTAAGTTCTTACTGAAATGTCACTGAAAATGCTTAAGTCCAACTGTATGAATGAATAAAATTGGCTTAGTCATGAACCACTGTTGTTGCAAAATGACAGAGTCCAGCGCCTTTGGTTGGGTGTAAAATGTTTAAGTATTGAGATACAGGTTCGTGAAAATAACAGAGTCCAGCTAGTCTGGTTATGAAAAATGACTAAGTGTTGCCTATATGATGAGTGAAAAGAACAGAGTTGTGGCTTTTGGCCTCAATGATTTTGTTAAGTCTTGATGGACAGCTATGCTGCCATCTTTAGGTAAGAATTGAAACCTAGCATGACTTAGAAAAACCCAACACTACTCCCCACTAGCTTTGTGACCTCCTGGTCACAACAAGTTTCAAATTAACCTTGTTAAAATGATATCAGCATATTGACAACCCCTTTTAAACCGTAATCAAAAAAAATATATAAAAACAAGAGTAGCCAATGTTCATCAGCGAAATAATGAAACCATTACTGTTGAGCCAAGATAAAATAACAAAGGTCAATTATGAGACAATTGTGTCGAAGACCGAACCTGTTATGAAAAAAAATGACATCACCAAATAATAGAACTGTTATGCCACATTTTTTACCTAACTAAATTGATGAGTAAACTTTCAACTGACTGAAACTTTGTAACAAATCATATCAAAACCATCAGAATGTTACGAAGACTCAAAAGCAAGTTCCACTTTTAAAGCACTCTTAATTTCAGAATAATCAAAAACACTATCAGCCTCAAAAGTTCATAAAGTTATTTTAAATGTTGTAATATTACAGTCTGTTGCACTTCAATGAAGGCATGAAAATCAAAGGGTTCAGTGTCAAGTGCAATGTTTATTGAACCTGATCACTTCTTCAAAATCATTCAGCAATGCAAATATTTCTATAACATTCTGATAAAGAACTAGATAATTCATGTTATGAGTCAATAATATTGGGCAATCTTTCACCCACACACTTCCTTTTAGTTTCACAGTCCACTGACATATAACATAATATTATATGCTATGTTTATCTTTAATATTGTGGTTTCTTTCAACTTTAGTAAGTTAAAAGGAAGACCATTTGTCATGTTCAACACACTGAATCAATGACAATGATGTAGGTATTCAATAACCACACACAGCCAAAATAATATAAGGTTTTCAAATTCACAAATCAAAATTCCTCCTTTGATCATCTTGATATCTGCACTGCACTGAACTCCTGATGATGGGAAGTGAATTAGCTGGTACAATGTGTACTGAAGACTGGCCTGGTTTCACAACTTTACAATGAAGGATATCTCTGTCTTGTTGATCTGTCACTGAGTGCTGAATGTAGGCACGACCAGCCTTATTAGTTCTCAATATTGTATTATAGTTCACACTGTGTCTTGATCACCAAATAATAGTCAAAAGGCATTTTAGCAGCATCCTGGATCCCATGAAAATGTCTCTCTGAATAAAGAACTGGTCAGTCTCTGATCTCTGAATATAAAACTGAAGATTCGATCAATCTTTGATCTCTAAATATAAAACTGAAGTTTCGATCAATCTCTGATCTCTGCATATAAAACTGAAGATTCGATCAATCTTTGATCTCTAAATATAAAACTGAAGTTTCGATCAATCTCTGATCTCCGCATATAAAACTGAAGATTCGATCAATCTCTGATCTCTGAATCTCTAGTGTCTCTCTGATCCTACATATGTCCTGACGCATCATAGACATACTCAAATAACACAAATATAACACCTGACTGAATTTGTCCAAGATGACAGGTATGGGATCCTGTACATCAATAAACAAATGAACCATTATCAAGGTTATTAGAATGAGTATAACTGCGACCCATCCCAAAATGGCTTCATAATGGCACTGCTTTCTTCGCAAAAGTTCAGTATGAACAAAGTCCCTCAAACAATGTGAAGCTGAGTACCGCTGATCCTGCATGTTGAGAATTTTACCCCGACGTGACATCATGGTACCCCGTGCTGACATCCTAAGTTCAATACTGCATTCCACAATTAAATGTCACTAATCATATTATAAAAAGTTTGCTGCCACCACTCTCTAATGAGAGAATAAATGTTCTGCAAATCTGCAAATGTTCTGCAAGTTTTGGTAACGATCATGTCTCCGTTTAGCTGGTTTATCTTTATATTTTCTTGGCGCCATCTTAAAGTCTCTTAATTGTTGGTAGCGCTATAAGCGTGTATAAGTTCATATCCCATCGCTGCTCACCAGTGTTGGGTCTCTACGAAACGATGACGCCAATATGATACGACAAACTTCAGAGTTCAGAGTAACATACGATACTTTATTATAAAGAGTCAAACTACACTATCTATGTACAAGTTATATACTACTGAGCTACTGTACTGACTGTAAAAGACCCAATCGTAACTCCAGATCGTAACTCCAGATCATAACTCCAGATCATAACTCCAGATCATAACTGCCAGGGTGAGGTTTCGAAGCCTCTTATATAGTACTACTATTGGCATGTTGCCAAACCACAATTGGCAACCTGCCAATGACCAATTTGGCAAAGTGCCAATGAAACTTAATGACCAAATTATTCTAAGTTCTTACTGAAATGTCACTGAAAATGCTTAAGTCCAACTGTATGAATGAATAAAATTGGCTTAGTCATGAACCACTGTTGTTGCAAAATGACAGAGTCCAGCGCCTTTGGTTGGGTGTAAAATGTTTAAGTATTGAGATACAGGTTCGTGAAAATAACAGAGTCCAGCTAGTCTGGTTATGAAAAATGACTAAGTGTTGCCTATATGATGAGTGAAAAGAACAGAGTTGTGGCTTTTGGCCTCAATGATTTTGTTAAGTCTTGATGGACAGCTATGCTGCCATCTTTAGGTAAGAATTGAAACCTAGCATGACTTAGAAAAACCCAACAATATTTAACTGGACAATGTACATGTACATGATACACATGTTTTATGAGACAATGATTTAATTTGACTGACGGGGCTACTTCAGCTTCTTGACATTCTTCAGTCTTGTACTTTGACTTTACTTCAGTTGTTTATTTATTATCTGTGTACACAAGGGACTGGCTCAAAATCTCAAATTTTGACAAAACTAATTAAACAAAGGGTTAAAATCATCTCTTCTCCATTAATACTAGTGGACAGTGAAATGAAACGATATCAAAGATTTTAATGGTTTACTTTGATAAACAAAATTGTGTTGATCAAAATCATATTTGTATATTTTGACACAGCCCCCAGGACTGATCTCCATATAATAAGGATGTCAGATAGCATACATTGATCTGTCTTATTGTCATTGTAGGGGTCAACCATTTGATTTAAAATTGGAAAATTGTTCACCAGAAAAAGAATATGACAGCTAAAGAGATGCTAATGACTGCCTCCTCAAAGTAGTTGACCATAAGAGGTTTGAAAATCTCATTTTTGTTAGTAAGACCCCTCCCTCCTACCTCCTTCCTCCTCCCCTTTTCTGGTCCCAAATGGTCCTCCCCTATTAAGAGATCATTCAGAGTCTGCCTTGAGTTATTTATAAAGGATTTAGCCCAGTTACCTATTAGTGTTTTTATCTCAATCGCATTTTTATCACTGATATTGAAAATGGAATGCATTTGAATTTGATATTTTAGTTAAACTCATCTCAAGTTGGTATAGATGCACTAGGATCTTGGAGAAGTTAAATTTACATTGAATTGCTGGAATAAACCAATTTGAAGGATGTACATGTTCCTCTCTAATGGTGTATAAAGCTTTAAAAGGATTATTATATACTCGACAGAATAGCATGGAGAAATGCCCTATGGTATGCGCTTGTAAAGTGATTTTTTCATATCTGATCTTTTGACAGATTGCAGCTAATATATTTTAATGTCAAAAGTTTAAAACTTAGCATGATATATTATTTGTGTTGTCAAGTGTCAAATATACAAGTAGTGCCAGATTTGTATACTTTAAACCTTTAGAATATAAAGTCATTTTGACCTGCTATTGTAATTTTTTTGTTAAAATACAGTTTTTATTTCCAGATTGTGTCTTATCTTCACTTCAGACTACACTCCAAACTTTCTTTTTATTTCAAGTTGTGTTACAGGCATTAACTCTTTTGATATTTTATTTTGCTTGTCACTTTAAAATATCTAATTCTATTTAAGCTAGGATATTAATATCTATTGGCCTATCATATGTCAATCATTTAGGTAAATACTTTAAGAATATAAATGCTTAGTTGACAAACATGTGTAAGGTCGTGAGTGTCATTTTTCAATGCCTTGATTAAAGAGGCATGGTCTGATCTAGATCTTTAAAAATTTGACTTATCATGAAGAGGTGCTTGTGACATATTGATATAGAGTAAAACCTCCATATATTGAACTTTTATTCTGAGAAAAAATGTTCAGTGTTGGTAGGTGTTCACAAGAGAGAGGGTAAATAGAGTATGTGTGGATGAAGGGTGTTCACTAGACTGAGGTATTCACTAAGACAGGTTTTACTGGTAGGATTAGCATTCTGCATCTGTAACAATTGTTACACTTTTGTTATTGCAACCAGGTGTCATTTGAGTTTATTCAACTCAGTTCCATATTTATCCTAAATATTGCAACAACATTGTTGTTCACACAGTCATCCAGAAAGGCAAGCATTCAATATTCAATTCAGCATTCAATTTGGGTAAGTTAAACCCTCTATGAATTACTAATTTAAAATGTCATTTATTTACTATAAAGATATGCTATATTGAATTGTTACCAATCTCTATATAATTAAATGAAAATCAAATATGAATTTATAGTATGTAAGCCTATGTGCAAAATTCTCATTTAACAATCCTGGTTTCTCATTTTACTGTGCTCACCATCATGATAAACCATGACATCTCATTTCTTCTCAGCCTTGAGATGACATGTTTCAGGTGAAACAGAAAGGTGCTATGAGTATCAGAATGTGTGATCACAGGCCCTTTTACAGATCGGAAAATGCCTCTTTAAGTTGAAACAATCTTAAGTGCATATGTATATACTGTAGGATACAATAGATGAAAAAATGAACAATCATTTCAAACGTAACACAATCTCATTGCATCTATATTCTCAAACAAAATGAAAAGAGATGCATAAAAGAGTAAGGCACTTACAGAATAAGATGATCAAAGTTCGTTAGATTTAGGAAGTGATTTCTCAGATTTGCACTGATGCATGTAAAAATCCTTTCACAATTGGGTAACGGATACTAATATGAGAATAGTCGATCATGATTATTTGAAGTTAATAGAACTAAAACATATTGGCTCTCAATACATTTATTCAGATCTAGGGTTTTAATAAGACCTGGGAACAAACATGCATCAAAAGTTAAAGAATGGATATATATAGTACATTTCAATGCAGACAAAAGGATAAATATTGAAAGTTGAACCTGTAATCCTTGATCTTTATTTGGACATAACAAGTAAAATATTTGCGAAACTAAATTGAGAACAGAAATTCAAGGATCCAACTTCCTTGGTTGTAATTGACGCTATGAAGGGCAAGCACTTTGTTGTACAGTTATGTATAATTTTATATATTAATTTTGTGTAGAATTTATAAAATGATGTTTTAATCTTTTGTTCTTAGAATGTGAACATTTTTATCATTTTTATGTCACCACTACAAGTAGTGACATATTGTTATAGTCTCCAACATTTTTTGTGACAGCAGTTGGTGTTTGGTGTTCAGCAGTTGGTGTTCAGCATCAGTAACAAGTGGCAGGCTGTGACATTTTGCATGTTATGCCTTATGCATGTACTTTTGCAAATATCATGTTTATTTATGGGATATAATAATGATTTCAGGGAACAACTATGGAAAACAGGACACAAGACAACAAAATAGTCCAGTATAAATAGAAGCCTCAGATTGCAGCTTTTGCAGAACCTCGACCCAAGCAACATCCCCAACATCTGCTGTATTTTCACAGTTGCAACATCTACAGCTGCAGAATCAGTAGAAGGTGCATAACATCTAAGCTAGGAGGTGTCTACAGTAGCTGTATGGGAACTGCATACAACATCTGGGATAGCTCCAACATCTGGAACATTTAGCAGCTGTAGTAGCTCCAGTATCAGTCGCTACTTCAACAGCTGCAGTGACTCTAGCAGTGGCAGTGACTCCAACAGTGCAGTATGAGTATCAACAGTGTCAAGAAACTGTTCAGGAGGTCCAGCAGTAGCAGTAGCAGTAGCAGTAAGTAGCATTTAAATCTATGTGCTGCATGTATGTCACTACCGCAAGTGGTGACATATTGTTATAGTCTCCAACTTTTTTGTGGATGGCATTCAGTGTTATGTGGCTGGTGTTATTGGCAGATGGTAACATTTAGTGTGGCTTACATGTTATTACTGCTTAAATTCACAAATAAAATTATTTATGAATTTTGCATGTCACAAATGAATAATTGTACAATTGATGCAATAAAAAAATTGATATTGAATTGTGAATTCATCATGGCACAAATAGCCAGGGAATTCTCTTACCGTGAATAATCAAAAATAACATGCATGAATTTAACATGTTTTACAGTAAATACTTATATGTTTGCAAATCAGTGTTGTGCAGTAGAGCACAATGCACTACAGTCTATTTTTAGCCAATGCACTTCAAAACTTGTATTGCAGTATAGGAAACCAAGTGATGACACTTTTTATAGTGACTACCATGTTTTGTGTCTAATGTTGGCATCTATAATAGTTGTTGTCACTTTTGTAACCATTTGCAAATGGTGACATTTTGTCATGTTAATGCCTTGTACAAGACTGTTATAATACAAATACCCACTGGTACACTGTCCCATCACAATATCTACATGATTGTAATATTAATATACATGTAAAATAGGTTGACTCAATAACAAGATAGTAATATATGTCTTATCAAAATGATTATTATGTTCACCAGAAAGAGTAATCACTTGTGTAAGTCAGTATTGTTATATAACTTACATATGCAGTGCAAACATATACTTTGTATGCTAGGTGCAATAATTAGTATTCTAGATTCCAATTTTATTCAACAATTTTGAGATTGAAGACATGTGAATCTTCCTTTCATTTATAGATGGCACTCTCTTGAAAGTCAATATTAAAGAAATATAAAGGTGCTTGCCATACCCAACCAGTGGCTGGTGGAAAATGACACAATTTAAAGTCCAGTACATGTATGAAAAAAGTACATGTATTATTTAAGTATTTAATTTACTGGGTCCCTTAATGGCACTTTCAAAACCTAACCTTCAGTTTGACTTTATGTGACCATTCTCTCAGTAATCTTTAAATAAAATTAGGTCCGAATGATAGTAGAAGGTAGAGGAGTAAAATAGGTCAGATCAAGGTCAAAATGAAGGTCAATTCTAATCTGGAGTCTTTAAGCGAACATTTTTCAAAATCATCTCGTTAATTATTGTCGCGATCTTTCAACA